ACTGGCAGTCACATACAAACAGTCTCTGACTCACTGTGTTGTTGTTAACTTCAGATCATATTTTCATTTTATTTACTCAGATCAGATTCAGTGTGATGCTCACCTTTATCTTTTCATTTGTTAACACAAGCTGTCTCTTTATCACTGTTAGCGCTGGTGAATACAAAAAAAAGGAGATCACTGTTTGCTTTTTTGAGTGTGACTCCGAATGGGTTGCCATGGTAATGTGGTACATTCACACTCACATTATCTTAGTCTATTTTCCTCTTGATCAATTCATTATGCATCAAGAATTTGTTAACGATTAACCTAATTGAATCTGAATGGGTTTGAATATATTAAAGAGGAAGTGTCTCATTTTCAGCAAAGCTTCAGTTTTCTGTTAAAAATTCATGAATGTGTAAGTGGACGACTGAATAAATCCAAACAGCACCAGCTGCCGGAGAACAGAAGAGAGAGGTGGATGATGTATTCAGGATTGTTTGTGTTTGACCACAAAGCTAGAGACAGCTTTAGATGTATGATTCAAAGATGGCAATACCAACTGTCTCTATTCTTTCACACACAGTGACGTCACAGCTACCCACAATGCAACGCGCGCCATATATTTTTTTATAAAGACGCCATTTTTCTGGAGGTGCAAAAATCCTGGAGATGCTAATATAAACAGCTAGCTAATGTAGCCAGGCAGAGCGCACTCGTTTTTTTCTTCTGAATTAACGACCGAAGAAATCGCTGCATGTCTTCGGATTACATCTCTGGACTTGAGGGGTGTGCTCTAGGTCGTTACCAGCGTAAACTAGAGCTGTGTGGGTTGTTGGATGTACAATGTATGGAATTACGACCCTCAAAAGTGGCCTTCGGTCGATTTTGGCAGCATCTACGTCTATCTTCTAGAAACACCAGGTGAATACCCCACTTGTCACAATAATATTATCATGCCAATGCATATATGTGGTATTTTAGAGTTGACTATATTGATTAAGGCAATCGACTGTGATATTCTGTATGCACCTCGTGTGAAATGGTTGATACCGGAAGTACGGTGTCGCCCTCGGCCCAAAACCCGTATGTGTGTGTGAAAGAATCTCTCTTACACACACACGCACACACACAGGCACACGCACACACACACGCACACTAGGGCTGAACGATATACCGTGTCATGGCGATAACCGCGATATGCGCATGTGCGATATTCACACCGCAGGGACGTGCGGTTTTATTCTTTTTTTTTTATAAATGCTAACGCACTTTAGCACAGAATTCAAAATAAAGATACCCTTATTACTTATCGAAACTGCACATACAATATATCCGATTAAATCGCGATCGGGGGAAATCGCGATGTCAGTTTTTTTCAATATCGTGCAGCCCTAATGCACACACAGGCACACACACACACACAGGCACACACACTAACTTCTTAACCAGATTGAGACAGGATGAAACCAGTCAGGATGACCATAACTGTGGCAGAGTGATGCAAAGTCACATTTACACACACACACACACACACACACACACACACACACACACACACACACACACACACACACACACACACACACACACACACACACACACACACACACTCACCTCTCTTATCTAGGCACAGTTATCATTTATCGGTCTATATGCTGTAAAATGTATTATCTCTTGGATTTACACACGGCATCTATTGCACGTCTGTCCGTCCTGGGAGAGGGATCCCTCCTCTGTTGCTCTCCCTGAGGTTTCTCCCATTTTCCCCTCAAACTGTGGGTTTTCTCCGGAAGTTTTTCCTTGTACGATGTGAGGGTCTAAGGACAGAGGGTGTCGTTTTTCTCATACTGATATTCTGAACAATCTGTGCTGTTGTATTTGCTGTAAAGTATCTCTACTGTAGGCTATTTTTATTATATGTACAGCACTTTGGCTCGACCAAAAATCGTTTATAAATGTGCTATATAAATAAAACTTGATTTGATTTGATATCATCCACCACCTATGGCTCCTGCAATCTTTTACTGACTGCCATAACTCTGCAATTATTGTCACCCGTATTTCATTGCAAGACAGCATTAATAGGAAATGATCTTTGAGTGTTGTGATTGTGCGTGAGAATATAAGAAGGGAACAACCATAGTTTCTACTGAACACTATCTGCTAAGCACCAAACCCTCAGTATTGTTAACCCATTTCTAAATGTTATGTTTGTGTAATGTAAGACTTGTATTTTGGGTTTATCCAATGTCATTTTGGTAAATAACTACATAGAGTGGAAGTCAACAAAGCAGGCAGAGATTCAACTCGTCCCAGAATAACAGGAAACATGGGATTACAACAGAGATGTATCATTATCATCCGCAGATGTTTGTTAGCCTCCTGCTGCTTCTGTCAGATGTTCCCCTCCTCGCTGTTGCAGGAATACAAGAAGCAGAACTCTAATGTGACCTTTCTGGTAATAAATATGTGGGCAGGAAACTGCAGTATAGAATAAAGAGCAGTACTTCTATTCAACCTTTTTTTACAGTACACATGCTTTGGGCAAGATGCCCTTTTAAAGCATTCATTTAAGATAACAATGTTATAAAGCACAGTGGTTGCGAGAGACATCTGGCTTTATGGGAAGATTAGATTGCTTTTCCCTCATGCGGTTTTTCATTTCGTTAAAGTCTTTAATACTTTAGACGACTCCATAACAGTAAAACAGGAGGAGTGGAGAATCAGTTTCCTTGACTTCCTATGTTTTAATTATTCATCATGCAGAGAGTTAATTTGGAAGACGGACAAAGCAGAATTAGAACAAAGCAGGAAAAAAATGACAAAATGAAATAGAAACAGCTGACTGAGGAGTTATCGAAAGATTCTGAAGAGATTTATTCAGACTGGAAGTAACATGGTACTTTAAAAGTATTCATAATTATAAGTACCTAGAAAAACTCAAAGAGACGAGGCAGCTAGGAAGAAATCCCTTTCCCTTTAATATGTGGTTTGAAACATTAGACTCCACCTAAAAGTGAATCACTGACAGTCGCGTTGATGTGATGAATCATGAATCAAAAGCTAAGAATATGTTCTGGAGTGAAGCTTGACGTGCGTATGCTCAAGTGATTCAGCTTTTGATTGAGGAAGAGCAGCAATGAAAATGTGGATGTGAGAGTCAACAGGTGAAGGAGTAATTGAAAGGGAAGATGATTGCAGGCACGAAGTATTGCAGAAAAGAAAAGTATGACAAAAAGGAAATCAGAGGAATATAGGCTACAGCATGTCTCTTCTCTTTTTGTCGTCTTTAATTCTTCCCTCGCCCTCCCCCTTCTTCTCTTCTTGGAGCTGTAGCGAAGGGTGGTGTTAAGCCACTTCCAGTCCTCCTTCCAAAGCTAATGCATTTCCCTTAAATATTTCAATATGCTCCTCCTCTGTTCTGCAAGGTTGAGTACGAGCTCTCCCTCAGCTGGCGCCCACAGAGGCACGCTGCCACCGATAACATCCTGCCAGGGGTTTGATGTCTCAGAGTGCTGAAGACATCAAAAGAGGGAGGGACGAGGCAGGATGTGGGAGCATAGATTATTGATCGAGGGAGAAACATCAAATAACTAAAGTGTGTTGTGTGACCGTGCAGTTTTTCCATTGTGTGCCTGGGATGTACAGCCCTTCCAGCACAGATATATTGCAGGCTTATGCAACATGGAGCAAACTTGTATTGTTCCTCAGATTTGATTGTGCAAATCTAGTCCGACAGGCGCTACAGTGAAACCCACAGACAAGCACGGAAGGCCCGTGAGCAAACCTGATCTGTGCATGAAAAAAGAAGCCTGAAAGATCCACTGTAGGAGGTGTTTGTGTAGGACAATAAACGGTACCACTTTACAATAAGACTACCCTTATAAAGGGTTTACTAATAGTTTGTAATTCATTTATTAATTAGGTTGTGAACACTTTATAAATCATTAATAAGCTTTTATAAGACATGAGATAAACAGGGCAACTGTGACCGATTGCTTGCCAAATGAGCCCACATTTATCTGTACTGTTAAGTCTTATATTGGCTACCTAGCTTACTTCGTCTTCTTCATCAGCCAGCATCCTTGGTATCTGTTGTTCAAGTTGATTCTCGCTAAGTAGCCAATATAAGGCTTAGTCATCTTGCCAAATAGTGAGCCTGTGTTGATGTATGAAAACTATTTTAGAACTGGTTTATAAATGGTTCTTAATGATTAATCAAGTGTTTACAACCTAATTATAAACCCTTAATGAATCCTTTATAACGGTAGTCTTATTGTAAAGTGGTACCAAATAAACCTTGTGCATCGCTGTGTTTCCCATTGTGAAATTGTTCAAAGAAGAGTGCTTGCAGCAGGAGCAGCGTGTGAATCCTTTATGGTTCAATCATTTTGGTTCTTCATTACGGTCTATACAGTACCTGCCTTCCCCTCTCCTTTTCTTCCTCTCCATCTGTCTCTCCATCACTCCCTTCGCCTCATCACTCGTGCCATTATATTTCATGGCAGCAGCCGACACAGAGCTGGACCTAGAGGAAATTAAAAATCTTTGTTGCTCTGTCGCTCTGCCCTGTGGGTGGGCGGACGTCAATAAAGTATTGTATTATGGCCTGCAACAAGCGCACACACACACACACACACACACACACACACACACACACACACACACACACAAGAGACATGTGGTGCTCAAGATAAAGAAGCATACACACTTACAAACATACTGTAATATACGCTTTGCATTTACTCAAGGTGAAAAGGAAGCACATACGCACTCAAACACAGAAGCAGTGTATTCATAAACCTGGAGGACACTCGGTGTGTGTGTGTGTGTGTGTGTGTGTGTGTGTGTGTGTGTGTGTGTGTGTGTGTGTGTGTGTGTGTGTGTGTGTGTGTGTGTGTGTGTGTGTGTGTGTGTGTGTGTGTGTGTGTGTTTGAGCTCTCATCTGACTGGTGTCACTAGAGAAATAATGAAGACAAATATTGACGTGCGCTTTGTTCTCCTGTGTGTTCTAGCTGCCGAACCAGTAACCGGAAAAGCCTGATCCTGACCAGTACGTCGCCCACTCTGCCACGGCCGCACTCTCCACTGCCTGGACACATAGGTCAGTATATTAAAGTTATATCCATGATTCAGTGTGCGATAAACTATTAAAAAAATAAGTAATATAAAATGAATCCAAAAAACAGACTTGAAAAGAGGCATTTTAGGAAGAATCTTGCTGTAGTTTGGGACTGTGCCATATACAACCCACTAGGGCTGTGCAATTAATCGTATTTTAATCGCGATTACGATTATGGCTTGCGACGATTATGAAAACAGCATAATTGACAAAATACGATTATTTTGCTGGGTGCGCTTTCGCCCCTCCCTAAAAGCCCACTCGGCCACGTGGGAGTGACATGTGTTGTGAGTGTTCAGCGCGAGCGAAGATGTCAGAACAAGAGCAGCAACTCGTTAAAAAGAAGGGTCAAACTATTTCCACTATTTGCAAGTACTTTGCCATTACATTTCACATCGCTAAAGATATGTGCCCAGTTAGCACTGTTAGCAACCAGGGCTTTAAGCAACTTGTCAACACGTTGGACAAGCGTTACGCGATGCCGTCTCGGTATTATTTCAGCAGGTCTGCGCTGCCTGCGCTATCTGACAAATGCCGTGGGGAAGTTGAGAGAGATGTGGCTTCAGCTGACTACTTTGCGACCACAACAGACCTATGGTCTAGCCCAGGGGTGCCCAACCAGTCGATCGCGAGATGTGTCTAAAAATAGAACAACAATATTCTGTTTTATCGTTAATGTCCTGTAACATAATCTTCCTGTGTCAGAATAATGCACTTGAACGCATCAAAGCTTTGTGATTGGCCGGCGTCACCGCTGTGTCGGGGCGTGGCTGAGGGTCTTAAGTACAGGTGGCAATATTGTCACCTGCCTGCGCTCATCTCTGAAACCAGACCATGTAAACAGCCTGGTGTTTCTTGCAAAGCATCTTTAAGAGATGACATGAGCAGCCCTACCAGCATTTGCCATGGTGGCCTAAACATTTTTATTTGGTCTTAAATTGTAGTTCAACATTTATTTCCTGTTACTTCTGGACCATGACGGTTGGCCAGCCTTCAACGTTTAACTGAGTGGAATATGTTGAATATGTTTTACCAACATGTTGGCTATATGTTAAGGAGTTTTCAGTAGGTTGTGACATTGCACTGCATCATATTTGATTTAATTTATTTTGGTCTAATTTATTTTTATTTATCATATTAATAATATGTTTAGTATGGTTTTGGAAGTGCGCTCCAACATATTTGTTGATCTTGTTTATTGGTAAAATATTATTTGTTTTAAAGTTCAATAAATGGTCAATGAATAATCGTCAAAATAATCGTGATATCAATTATTGACCAAATAATCGTGATTATGATTTTTGCCATAATCGCACAGCCCTACAACCCACTTCTTTACTATTGCAGGATCTTTTGAGGTTTCAAATGTTTTTATTCTCTAACATAATTACCATAAATTGAATCATCAGTGTCGTCTTATAGCAAACAATACAACAGCTTTTGGGTGCATTGGGACATGAAGACTTGGTGAAATTATGATTAAACTGATCTTTTACTTCACATTAAGTCCTTTTATTTTTTTAAAGAGAAAAAAATAACAAATTATTATTTTTGAAGGTCATCTGATAAATCTCAATTTATTTAAATGTTATCACCTTACTGCAGTGATGTAGAGGTGTACTTAGATTGTGTCAGTTCAAAGACTAATGCAGTGGTCCTCACAGTGGGTGCTGTGACACCCTGGAGAGCCTTAATGACGGTCCGACGGTGCCACAAGGGCAACAAGACAACATCAAAGCTGAAAAACAAGCAACAAACGTCAAAAACGCTGTATTAACACTCACAGCTGCAAGTTGTTACTCAATGCTATTTGTTACATGTATGTTGAAACACCTAAACATGAAAAAGGTAACTGAGGGGGTGCCGTGGTAAATACAAAATGTGTCTGCACCAATGCACTAGAGGTCAGCCAGAACAAGATTTTAACTGTTTAAAAGTTGCTCTTTAATTTAATTTTAATACTGTAATTTATTACTGTAGGACACGATCAAGTATAAACCTTATTACAGTAGGTGTCACAGTTTCATTCATAACCGTAACAGCGTTTTCAGTGTGTCATGGTGGCCAAATTCAGGATTGTGCAGGTTTATTGCCCCTTAACCTGCATGCACAAATAAGTACAAGAAAACCCTCAAAGCAACCCGAAACAAACGGGCAAATTATACTCATAAATGCGCTGTCAAGCAAATAGTATCTTTTATCTTAAATTAGGTCAAATGCATACATTGGGTGCTTAATTTGCTCTTTCTATGAGCCACAGTAAAAGAAAAACAGTCACATTTGCTAAGAACAGCGCTAAAAGCCACACACAGCAATTCTCTGTGATTTGCCCCGGAGCATACAAAGATCAAATGGAAATTGAAATGACTTAGAGTTAGCTAAAACCTCAAATGACTTTTGGTATATTATGGCTCCAAGTAATCCACAGGGTATGTTTTCTGCTCTGTTTTGTCCTTATGTATTTAACAGGAAGCAGTCCATTGGACAGCCCGCGCAACTTCTCACCGAGTGGACCTGCCCACTTTTCCTTCGCCTCTTCTCGCAGGTTGGCATTCCTCCTTTATTCTCACAATAAGTCACACATGCAACGGTACAAAAGCAGTGCGAAGTAGTCAAGGGAAATTGTTGATAGGATTATTTTTACACACAACACAGTGAAAGTCTACAGGGAACACTCCCACACACAAACATGCCACAGCCTCGTCTTCGTCCTCAGAGCTATGTGTCGACAGGTGAGCGGGGCAGGTGTCAGAGTTCTGCCCTAAAAGTGTGTCCCTCATCACTCACTCAGAAGAAGTGTCTGACAGGGCTGGAGGCCGTCTGAGGGAAGAGGGGAATAAGAAGAACGAAAGTGTAATTGGATAAAAAGGAAGCGAAGGTGGTGGGATTGCTTCAGTGTAACCTTGATATTTGAAGGGACCAAAATCAATATTGGAGTTCTAACTGGGGAAAGATTTAGAAAAAAAAGATATATATTTTTTATTTGACACGCTTCCCTTTTCCACTTTTATTTGTTTTTCCTCAGGGCTGATGGTCGTAGATGGTCTTTGGCTTCGCTGCCTTCCTCAGGATATGGCACCAATACACCCAGTTCAACGGTAAGTTCAAGAGCAAGAAGAAAGCTCCACAGACTATCCTAATCCTTTATTACCTTCATAAAATGTATAATAAGTATTAGCAAACATTCTTATAAACAAAGGAAAATAGTCATTAGGGGAGCACTAATCTCACATCTGATTTAATTAAGCATCCTAAACTGATTTACAGCCCCATTGTTGTATTATACAAATAGTCGTTTTTATATAGCATTAGGGGGATCTTAGGCATTTTAATGTTCGTGTTTTTTTTCTATATAAACAACAGTGACATTCTGTAAACAAGCTGGTATTTGAAAGTGGAAAATAATATCAAATATATTTTTCGACACAGACATTTTAGTCCTCTAAGAACCTTGAATCATTTTAAAAATGGTTTCACAATGGTTAAGAGTTTCCGAACGTATCTGTGTACACCACAGACAAACACTCCTTCCTACTGTGTATTATTTCTGCAGCAGCCACTGCACATTATGCTTTCTCCAATGTGTGATAGGGCTGACTAAGTGTGTCCTTGTAACACAAAACGTGAGGATCTCTAAAAGGACACCAGAGTGTAGCAGCAGCCTCCTGAAAAGTCCTCTGAAGAATATCGGAGGCTTCTGGTGGCTGTTAGGCTGTGTCCTCACAGAGATTCCTTCATGTTTACCTTCTCCATTGCAGGAAGAGTGAAAACTGAGAAGGATCGATCTCTGTACTTTAATTATTTTCCATTTTTACCGGAGAAACAGGGGAAAACAACTCTAAAGTGTGGGATATGATGTTCTTCTCCTTGTAGCTGCATTGGCTAAGTCGTGAAGTCAAGAGCCATCCTTCGCATGAATATGCATCTCCCTCAAATAACTTATTTGCATATGTTTTCATGCATTAAATCAGCGCAGGCTTTACTGCTCGTAAATTCATGTTCTAAAAGTTGCATGTTCCACTTTGGTCTTGCTCTGCTCTGAAAGGATTACACGCCATACTTGCAGCTAAATTCTACTCATACACAAACACACACACCCCTGTGTTCTTTGACTTTGTACTTGCTGCTCGGAGTCTCAGACGATTAGGATTTTACCGCTGAAGAACATGCATCGCATGTACACTAGAACTAAAAATAACTCATCAGTTGCTAAGACATGATCGACCTGATTTATCTGCAGCTGACGACTTGGCCTTTCTGAAAAAAAGTGGAGCAGGGATATTTGAAATGAAATGTAACCATTCTTTCTTTCTTCCCTGTTCCAGTAACAATTTCTCCATGCACCACTTTATCCCCAGAGAAGCGAAGATGGATGGTTAAGAGGGGCCACAGAGACATAAAAGAGAGTGTAGGAGGAAGTGAAATGTGTTTTGAAGGAAACAGAGGGACAACAACAATGTTCACTTTTGTCTGAGTGAAGCATAAGAGACTACTCAGAGAAATGAACCCTGCCAAAGCCCATTTGGTAAATAGTCCATTTGAGAAATGGGCCTTAATGTGTATGCCGCTCAGGTGGAGGCAAGGTGTTGACTCATAATCCACCCCCTGTGCAATCTTGAACATAATCACTTCCTCTGCATCTTTTCACAGTTCATTTATTTCATTGACTTCCTCTCATGAATCTACTTACAGCAGCACACATAGACAGACATGCAGTACGCTGCAGGCGACTCATTGATCTCTTTTTACCGGTAGATGAGGTTGAGACTGGTTTCTCAGTAACCTCCATACTCCGCTCACCCTCCATCACTCCTCTTCCCCCTCCGTCCTGTCAGGTTTCAAAGCTCGGCTGGTTCTTACATGGTCCATTACTCGCTTGATTAGTTACAGCAAGACCCTTGCATACTGAACAGGAGTTTCCTATATGAAGAGGTAGATCCTATGAACCAAGTGTATGCTGAAAGATGCAAAAAGGTCGACAGATGAAATAGGAGAAGATAGAAGATGGAGGCAGTGGGAAGATGAAACCGTGAAGTTGAAGAAAATTGTCGAGTGTTTGTACACATATACATTTGTTGGTTGATGCAGCTCAATGGCGCTGCTTCATCCAAGCACTTACAGTTTTGTACCGCAGCAAATACAACCCCACTCTGGTTTCACTCCCAGGTTCAGATTGATCTAAAATCAGCAAATGAGTCTCTCCTGCTGTTCGGTGTGAACTGTAGGTCTCAACTTTCATCATCCAACAGAAACATCCTTCTTTTCCCTTTTCTTCTGTGTCATGAATAATAATATAGTCAAGAACAGAACATTGCCTTTTCAACACATTTTCTATTGGTGTCATTTCCATAAAGTCACATGGAGCTGAGAATCCGCTGTGAAGCTATATGTGTATGCAATATATTAAAATCACTTATGTGAGGTTTTTTTCAAATGACGAGACACTCTCATCTTAACCTTTACTATTTAATGATGCATTTACAAATGTAAATGGAATGTAAATGAATTATTAAAACAGCTTTAAAAGAAACAAGCTGATGCAAAAATGTCTAATGAGCATTTAGTGTCCGGGCATTTACACACCAGTTTTATTGCTTTCAGAGATTTTCATTTTCTGTTGTGCCTTTTGGGAGGAAATATGCAAAAAGGAAGTGCACTATAAATGTAAATTGTACATCCTTATCATTGTATTATTTGCATGTAATCCAAACTCCAAAGGTATCAAAAAACAACAGATCTGTTGACAAGTGATGATAATTCTCTAAAAACACTATTTCCTCGATTCTTATCCCTTGACATATTCTCCTTGCATTTGTTGTCACATCTTCTGTGAGGGAGACCAAGAGCCATGCAAAGGAAATCTTCATGCAGTTAAATTATTTAAGATGCACCCAGTGACTACTTGAAGGAGCGAGACGGTTTTATGGCAACCATCTCATTCAATGGCATTTCCCTCAGTGTCTGAACTCCCTGTATCTTCATGCAGCTTCTTCATTGATTCTGTTCACTGGACATGCTGCATTCACTTCAGTGCGTTTCTGCAGCCTGAAAGTGGCTTAGACCTGGATGGAGTTTTCTATTTTTCTAGCAGAAATCGTTGTGTGGCCAAAGCCTGCCATGGTGTTCCATCGGGAGATGTGTCCATTAAGCCTGGTTTTTCCCTCTCGCCCTTAAGAAAAGTATTTTGTTTAAAACCGAACAGCGCTGCCATTAACCCCCGAGGCAGCAGACACTTAAGGCAGCAGTACACTTTTAGGTGGAGTGACTCCTTCATTCCCTGCAGTCTTTTTGCTCTGGTGTTCAGTCTACATTATTCAGTTTTGTCCTCCTACACTAACTCCTTCTGGACATTGTTCTGATCCTCTCTCTCTTACTTTCTTTTTCTTTTATGTTCGGCACTTCTTTGTTTCAGTTTTTTTCCACCCACTCAAACCAAAGAACACCTTGTTTTTTCTGCTGCTGCCATTTCTTGTTTTTGTTTTTCTCCTTTCCATCTCTGGATATCTGTTGTTACACTACTAAGAGAGCTAACAGAGAGCAGTTCTTAATTTAACCTTGTCTCATTTTCCTCCTTCTCTCCAGTCCTCCAGCTCCTCCCAGGAGCGGCTGCATCAGCTGCCCTTCCAGCCGACCATGGACGAGCTGCACTTCCTGTCGAAGCACTTTGGCAGCACGGAGAGCATCACGGACGATGACGGGGGCCGGCGCTCGCCGCACGCCCGCCCTCGCTCCCGAAGCCTCAGGTGAGAGCACGGCAGGTCTTGGACAAATGACAGTTTAAACAAATGAAGACAAGCCACTGGGCGCCTAGCCAACTTTGATTAAGGTTTTCTATAAGCAATCCCTTATCATCCCAATGAAGACTGGTTAGGATGTGCTGGTTTCTTATGGTAGCAGGAAGAGTTAGAGTCCTGATACTGACTTATATACACCTGATATAATCAGGAATACACATTGAGATGGAGTTCTCATTACAAGTGAAACATAAGAACATACAATATATAGTAATAAAATAAGATTAAGATACATATACAAACAGGCAACAGCATTACAAATAATATTTAAATGCTTTCTGGAAACTTCTGTGTCTCAAGTTTACACTGTTACATTATTTCAAACTAAGGTCGAAAAAAATCAAGGCTGTCTTTCCCAGGTTGGTATTTTTCTGCAGGTTTAATAAAGGTTATGTAAGCCAGGCCAAGGCAGAACTCATTCCATTTTGAATTGGATCTTAATCACTGGCTCTGGTAATTATACAAATTAAATTGAACTTTCGATAAGAATGGAAATTAGGGCACTTGTGCTGCTACCATGTTATAATTCATGTGAACGCCCCCTCACGTCAGAACAGCAACTCTGAAACAGCTACCTACATGTTGATTACATTGTCTGATGAAAGAAAAACAACACATCCTCTTTGTAGTGTTCTTTCCACATCACAACTTTAGGCTAATAAACATACTGAAGTCTGAAGAAACTAGGACTTTGTCGGAGATCTGTGCTCTCCCACTGCCAGTGTAGTTGAATCAGGATAAATCCCCTCAAGTTCTTTAAGCCTCTGCAGAGTGCAGCACGTTTCTCTATTTTCACAAGTCTCTAGTGTACCCTCCCTCAATCACACCTATTATAGCCTCCCCTCTGGATGCAACATGCCCCAACTACATACACCACATCACTTCTTATCAGTATTCAGTTTTCATATTAAGCTCCTCAGCAGTAGGTAGATAGATAATCACACATCTTGGAGCTCTATTGTGTACCTTGATATGCCTCATTATTTCTTATTCATAATCGCATCTTTCTGTGAAGCTAAACAGTGTTTGCCCACAAGACATCTATTTATAATATGCTTTTTCTTTTGTCAATGTCCAATTCAGCACTGTATGAGTTGCTATGTTAAATAGTATTAGGTTTTCAGGCTTTTATTCTGCCACATATTGAATTTTCTTTGCATTTTTTCTGTGTGCCTCTGAATATATTCATGCTTGTCTGACGTCTGCACCATGTGTAGCGTGACGTGCAGGAGGACACCGGATCATTAGAGAAACTAAACTGAGTGTACTGAATTTCTGATCGGTGGATTAGCATAATGTACAGACAGGAAGGACATGAGGGGCAGCAGTAAATGATTCCTTAATTCAAGTGAAAATACAGAATTGCTGCCTCCACACACTCTCTGCTCTTTGGTTTTCTCAGTCTCTGCTGTGTATTACAGTCCTGCTCTGTGTGTTTGTCTCTCTGCAGCCCCGGGCGCTCTCCATCCTGCTATGACAATGAAATAATGATGATGAACCATGTCTACAAGGAGCGCTTCCCCAAGGTCAGCCTCACATAAGCATAACACAAGGGTAAACTGTGCCTCCATACACACATCAAACACACAAACAATTTGCCTGCAGTCAGAGAGCGCCTCTTTAGCTGCACTGAATTACGAGCAATACATGCAGAAACACTGTTTTTCATGTAGTGGTCAATTTTGAGAGTATGGGCTATTTTGCTTCCCTGACATGTCTTCTTTCAGACCAGTGAAAATAAATACATCCAAAATACACATTTAGGTGCTTACTTTATTTTACTTTTTGTCTTTTTGGCATTGGAGATTGCTCTTATTTCTAAATGTATCATTAGATAATGCCTCATTTCTAATACAAAACAAATGACTTGATGGCAATTTCTTTCTTTTTTTTCTGTTTACGCTATTCACCTGTAGGGACACCCGTTAAAACATTTGGTAGATTATTCTTTGATTAGCCCAGATACGCTAAGTGCCACATTGGGGAAACATGTGTCCAGAACAAATAAACAAACTTAAATAATTCTGTAGAACCAAGGAAGGTGCCAGGCGGGCAGTAGATCAGACAGTTCTTGCTAGAATAAAAATAGGTTTTAGCTGGGAAGTAGATGAATGCCGACACTGTCTTGGCTTTGAAGTTACCATCTGGGACATGTAACAGATGTTGGCCTTTACAGGAAGCTTCAGTATGTAGGGTGTGTAGCAGTGGGAAACATAAAGATCAGAAAGGCTGCTGCTTCAGTAAGATGGCCGTAAGTTGGTAAATCTTGCCCCGGTGAAATATCGTCCTAACAAGTATGGCGATGCACATTCTGCATGAGAGAACTGGATGATGTCGATCTTGGCCGACGTCCCCTGTACTCGGTCCGGGATTCAAGATGTGTGTGAAATGCTTGCCGCCATCTTTTCCTTGACATTTTCTAATTGTCTAAAGCCCATAGCTAGGTTAGTATCAACATGTTGTCTGAGAGCAAAGCCAATCATTCACAAAATGATTTTACTTACACAATGAGCAGATCGGTATTGGTAAGAGTGATGTAAAATATTATCCCAGCATGCACTACACAAGTCAGAGTAAAGCTAGCCCCAGGGGCCTCAATGTCAGGGTGCATGACACATAACAGCATCTCCAAGTTTGACTTGTGGCAGCGGGACCTTTGTTGCTTTTTTCAAATGTTCCCTGTCTCTCTCACACTAATGCATCCTCCAGCTGTACTTAGCTGTTATCTCTGCATTCCTGCGCCCTTGTTACTTTGAAAGAGGCTTACCGTTCTCCTGTGACCTCCAACATAAAGGCAGCTCTCAGATTTTATTTCCCTGTTCTTTGTAAGCTGTTGACACTGCAGTGTGAGAAAACCACTGGAGGTCGTCCATGTCTGCGGAGCTAAACCCGACCTATTAGTCTTTGATCATGAGTACAAAATCAATTAGATCACGTAACTTGCCCCAGGCCAATATGTATTAAAAAGGGAAGATGATCTAAAGCTGCACGCACGCACGCACGCACGCACGCACGCACGCACGCACGCACGCACGCACGCACGCACGCACGCACACACACACACACACAAACTCACGTACACCATCGCCCTCTGAACATTCTCTTTACATCATAAAGTAGTGCTGCTAACAAGGCTTCCCACATACAATTGCACAGTTCCCAGGACTGTTGATGAAGTCTCAACATTGCTGAGTCCTCCTCATTATAGGAGAATAATTAGCAGTTGCATACCTGAAATAGATATTTAATTAACGCTTAATGGGGCCTTAATTCTGATAATGTTATGTTGTGTTTCATCAGTTACAGATAATGTAGACTGCCACATGTTCTTTCCAAAAAAAATCAATAAGAGTATTTGTCTTTTCAACGTTATAAAAGAGGTGTAATCTTTGTGTATGTCACATTTAGAGCGATGACAGGTAGTGGGTAGTGGTGATGTAATGTAGGGGAAGCCTGACAACATGATAATAACTTACTATTTAGGTGGCAATCCTTGTGATTTTGTGACACCCTCTTTAACAGTAAGAGGAAATACAATGTATGAATATATGTCTCAGAATACTGGGTACAGCAAAACTAACTATTGTAAATTTTGTAATAAAGAAGTCAGACAATAATTGGCCTATTTAAAATGTTTGTGTGTGATCTGCTGCCTGCAGCTCTTCGGACTCTTCCATTTCTCCCTGCAATATTTCGAACTGAAGAAGAAGCCTTATTGTGGAAGCCTTATTGATGAACAAAGCTCACTGACAAACATAGTGCCTATCCCGTGATTAACATTACTTCACAATAATAGTGAATGTATCTTTCGCCGGTTAAATGCTTTTAATGTAAAGCCACAGAAGCAGTAAATGACAACACAGGCACCCATAATACTGCAAGCATATCAATATTGTTATCCTCTCATCAGTTGGTCGGAAGCTTACTCATGTTTGTGTGTTTTTTATTCAAACACTTGCGCCATCTTGTATTCATTCAGGCCACAGCTCAGATGGAGGAGAGGCTGGCAGAGTTCATCCACAGCTTCTCTCCAGAGAGCGTCCTGCCCCTGGCCGATGGGGTCCTCAGCTTCATCCACCACCAGGTAGCTGAGCTGTCCAGGGACTGCCTGACCAAATCTCGCGAGGGTCTCATCACCAGCGTCTACTTCTGTGAGCTGCAGGATAACCTGGAGAAGCTGCTGAATGATGTGAGTTGGGACAGGAATTGTGGAGGTGTTGAGGAGTGTCAACTAACGGTATGTCAATCTCTAACCTGTCTCCTGTCTGCCTGTCTCTCCTTCACTATCAGGCTTATGAGCGCTCGGAGAGTTCGGAGCTCACCTTCGTCATCGAGCTCTGCAAAAAGCTCTTCATCATCATATCTCGTCCCGCCAGGCTCCTCGAGTGTTTGGTGAGTTTCTGATGTTAAGTATGAGTATCAGTTTTTCCGAGGGCCCTTTTACATCCTGAATATGTTCTGCTTAACTGCTTGGAAAGGCTCCTGTCCTCCCAAATGGAGATGCATGGTCAATTCCTTCTCACTGAAATGCCATTAAAGAGTGAGCAGACGTGGAGCAGGCTGTCAGCTGTGCATCCAGTCTGAAGAGATGAAACACATATCACAGCTGGAGGCTGGCCTGTCACTTTAAAAGGGAGTCTGTCTTTAAGGCTTACAGAAGTATTTCACATTGCATTTCTTTTACTTTTGACAAATAAAAAGACTGTTTTTCTTTTTTTTCTTCCAATCTTGGGCATAGGGGATATATATAAAAATGCATACAAGGAATGTAGATACAATTGAGAATATTATTATACCCCGCCCCCACAGAGATGGATGGTTTCTTCCTGACATATAGTATCCACCCAGTACATTATGTTCATGTAATAATTGTGTTCATTTAGAAAACAGGGAGGGTTGATAATAATAATGCTTTGGAGTTGGTTTATGAGAAGATAGGTTCCATCATTTGTGTTTTGACACTTACAGTAGGGACGTAAAGCCAGGAAATCTCTTTGACTTGATTTTTTTTTTTTATTCTTTATTTATTTGGGGTCACATTATAATACAAGTACAGTTTTTCAAATCATATATTTTTAGAGACCCGAAAGTGACAAATGAAATAGCAAACAAAATGAGTCAAAATAAAATAAAAACTAAAAAGTACACAGGGGTTGTTTGAAATAGCAAATGTCTACACATGTACATATGCATACATATCAACACACAAACAGTATATACATTCAATACACATACACACATACATGTGACCATACATATACATCTATACTACATATACATTCAATCGGTGTATAGAAACACAGTCAAACAAGGGATGGTCGTCTTTGGGATATGTAAATTGTGTTTTCCCGAAGCCTCATTGAGAAGGTGATTCTTTCCATAACATACATTTCATGGATTTTGTCGTACCAGTTGTCAAGAGAAGGGATATCCGCTTTGAGACATTTTCTAGTTATTGTTTTTTTTGCTCCAACAGTAAGAATTCCAAATAACTGTTTTGTTTTGGAGTTTGTGGGGATTGAATGTACGAGCCCAAATATAAATCTTTTGTTTTTAATGAGGCCCCGACTTCTTAGAAATGTAAAAATAAACTGCGAAACGATCTTTCAGCCTAAAAGAACAACAACTATTTTTTGAGGATAAATTAGGGATTATTTCTCCTTTAGTTACATCATTTCCAAATATCACAAAAGAGGATATGTAGCTATCAGATTAATGCAACATTCAATGGAGAAGACTAAATAATCAACATGGCTGCATCACAACCAAATATGCAGAGACAAAACTCTTATTTTCACCAATGTTTTGCACTCGTGTTGTTACTACGTCCCCCAGCATAAAGAAATGATTGCCAAATTTACATTTGCTTCCTGTCGGTGCATTCTCAATATATCTTAATATATGCCTGTGCAGTACAGACATGCTACACATGTCTGCAGCAGCAGTATTTGCACTTATTGCCGCAGGATATTTTTCCAACTTAACTCCAAACTGTAAAATATTCTCTCCACCTCCACATCTTGTCGATTTCTTTTTTCAGCAGGGCATCAAATCAGCTGGGAGTCAGAGCCGTGTCCTTGACATGTTGATACATAACTCAGCTCAACTTACTCAGTAATAACAAGCCTCTCTGTATGCACAGGAGGCTCAGCCATACCTGGACATCAGCTCACTGATTGATGGCCTCACATGCTCGTCTTCGGTAGCGTCCCTCCTATAACCACCCCCCCCCCCCGGCTCAGCTTTCCGTTGCCAGGACGACCGTCAAAGGAGGTCGATAGGGTCAGGCAGGATGTGGAGAGGATTTTAGATCCTCACGCCCCTTAGGTTAGAGAGGAGGAGACACATACACAGAAACAATGTTGTCCAGGAGCATAGAGTTCACTTAGCATTCAAGTCAGCAGCAGTTGTGATTTGGTGAAAATGTCACACAGTCAGTAGGCTTTTAGCTGCAAGGATATTATCCCGGAGCAGAGAAAGCTATCAGAGAGGCAGGTTAATTCCCCCTCACGGTGCTCTCTCTTTTCCTCCGGTTGAGGGGAGCAGATATGAGAGAGCACGGGAGAAAGGAAATGATCCCGGCTGCCCCAGGCTCTACTTTCTAATCAAAATGTTATTCCACCAACAGGAATGAAAGTAAATCCCACAGGACACCACAAAAGGCTGTTTCATTGGAATAAAAGGATGTTTCAAGAAAGCAATTTAAAGTTGGGAGGTGTATTGACACGAATTGTGTTTGTTTGACAGCCCCACAGCAGTGTTTGGTCATGAATTCTCAGCAGGTTGAAGATAATTCTAGTTTTGTGATTATACGTTTGGCAGACCTGAAATTATTAAAATACATTTCTGTGATGTAACGCCATTTTACATCAATTTATTTATCAAATTTGTTCTGCTGTGTTCGTCTTCATTGTTCAATACCCAGCTATAAAAAATGATCAATATTGTGATATGCCGTGGTACATTCTCATCTAGTTTTTTTTAAACATAATTGCAGCAATCATAACATGGCAGATACTTGATTTTTGAGTATAAAAATCTCAGATAACAATAAGCAAGGGTCTCTAAACGCATTACATAATCAATCTTGATATGGATCCCTTGGAAATATGTTTCTTTTTAAATTCTAACAAAGCATGACATTATGCAAGTCAACATAAATCACAATTTGTAAAGCGAATATGTAGAAATCTTCTGGTTCCAGCTTTTTCAAATGTAACATTTTGCTGTTTCTTTTTTCCGTCTATGATAGTAAATTGAAAATCTTTGTTTTTGTGTTTACTGCTGGTCAGATCAAGATGCAATGCAAGTCTTTGAAACTGTGATATTACATTCTTCTCTCTAATAATATAAATAAATAATTGAGAACATAAAGATGAATTGAAAATGAAAGGACCATAATGACTGTGGGTAGAATATCATTAACGTTTAATCTCGTGATTAGTAATCGTCAAGTCTTACTCAGCTGTGCAATCGTTTTTTAATGTCTTTGATAGTGCACTATTTTAAGATTAGAAAAGAATATCCCACGCATCAAACACTTCAGGAGTAACAAGCGTTAATTTCCAAGTGGCATTCATGCAGTTTGGTGAATTTACTTGGCAATCCAGCACTCATCTTAAAATCCATCTGAATGTGTTAAACTTGTTGTGGACATAAAGATATTTCCTGATGCTAAATGTTAAATGAGCCGTGATTATTCATCCCGTTACCTCCTGTAGATTTTGAAAGTAGATCTTCAGGAGTTTAAGCTTAAAGGTGCATTTACAGTATGTTGTTCTTTTGGTACTTACGTTCCCCCTTTCAATGATAGGAGTTCAACCCTGAAGAGTTTTACCATCTGCTGGAGGCAGCGGAGGACCACGCCAAGGAGGGACAGCTGATGAAGGCGGACATCCCTCGATACATCATCAACCAGTTGGGGCTGACCAGAGACCCACTGGAGGGTAAGAGAAAGAAAGAAAATGTATATTGCATTTTGTTGTTCAAATTGAGGCTTGAACAGGAAATAATGTATGTACACTGACTACAATGTGTACAGATTTTAATTCAGACATTGGCTGGTTCTTTGTGGAATTAATAGACTGGGAAATGAACAGCTGCCCCGCATTGAATTGATACAAATTACACATAAACAAAAGAACAGTTCAACATTTTGGGAGATACATTTATCGACTGTTTTCAAAGAGTTCTATCAGAAGATTACGTTTACAGTCGATGAAGAAAAAGACAATTGTTTTCTTGACAGTGTCAGAATTTAAACATCTCCGATCAGCTGGTTGTTCAGCATGACCATGTATGAGATCACTCTAGGACAGGCTGGAACATTTGTGGTCTGCTGGAGCGGTGAAATATCTTTAATTAATCATCGTGGCTCAAACTCACATTTCTAATTCTGCACAGCCGCTCTTGGTCTCATCCATCAGGAGTTGCTCATTAGCTGATGGACCCAGAATGACTCTTTACAATAAACCTCTGCAGGATTATATCTGAATTCGTGAAAATTCTAAGCCTTTGTCAGCTAATCTTTGCTTACAATGTGCCACTTGATATCTTCATCTTGCACTTTCTTTTACACCTACATCGTCATGCTTAGACACACATAGACACCCACGTAGCGGCTTGCACACTTTCACACTCTTTTATTTTCTCGGCTCCTGATAGAGACTGTTGACAAGACCTTTTCAGCGTCAAAGAGAAACCAACAGAATATACGACTGTCAGAACAGTGACTTTTATGTTACATGAAGTTAGAATCTACAGAGCGACTTTGATTTGCTTTGCAAAGTTAATTATTAGTCAATTATTTCCCTGCTTTAACAAAACAGTGCTATTATCAGTGTATTCTAGCAGCTGTCACATGTTAGAGAGGAAGAACACTGACATTTAGCTGCCAGTGCTGCTCAAAGAAAGGAGAAGAAACAAAGTGAGGGGGAGGTGGAGGTGGAGAAGAAGACAAAGAATTAATAGGAAGCTTTTTTATCTCTCATGTTTTACTTTCTGTGATCTGCCGCGTTTGGTCTTTCATTTGTTTTTAAAAATCGAATAGCTGTTTTGTTTAAGATGTCTGAGCAGCTGCGTTTTTTGAATCTTCACACAGCAGTGTGGGAGGCCTGGTGTTTTAGCATGAACATTTTCATTTCACTTTGACACCAGGTTTGCTTGTTAACTCAAATGCTTTTCAACAGAAATCGTGAGCCTGAACAGCTACGACAGTGAGGGCCCACAAACTCCAGAGACCGATGAAGCAGAGGTGAAGAACAAACACACAGGAAGATGTTCACACCCACTATGACTGCACCACCATTAAAACACACACACACACACACCGCTTTCAAATCATCAAAGAAACATTGACATTTGAGCTTTCGAACATTTAATTGAAACAGCCTTTTTGTTGATTTGAGTTATCATTTTAATATTTGTCAGCAGGGAAGAGGGCGGACCATGAAACCACCGAGTGAAGAAGATTTTCAGAGCATCAAACTGATCAGCAACGGAGCTTATGGGTAAGAAATTGATTGAAACCTCATTGGATCTAAACCATATCAAGTGCAATGACGCTTTTATCTAATATTTTAACAAAGAAAAAACTGTTTTTAGCATCAATATGCTGTGGAAGACTGTTTAGGGGTTAGAGAGTTCCTGTCAATAGAATCCTTGGAAATAGTGTTTCCAAGGTCAACAAACAGCATTTAGGCTAGATTACATAAAGTGCTTCATGCAATACTGATACAAAAAGAATCACCACAGTAGTGGAAACTGGAATAAATTGGCCCCTCACCCTGTTTCTGTTCTCTGTACCTCATCTTGGCGCCACCAGCCCCTTCAGTTTTCACTCTCGTCTCATGTGTCTCACCTTCTCTCCAGTGCCGTCTACCTGGTGCGCCACAGAGAGACACGTCAGCGTTTTGCAATGAAGAAGATCAACAAGCAGAATCTGATCCTGAGGAATCAGATCCAGCAGGCGTTTGTGGAGAGAGACATCCTCACCTTCGCCGAGAACCCGTTCGTCGTCTCCATGTTCTGCTCCTTCGAGTCGCGGAGACATCTGTGCATGGTCATGGAATATGTCGAGGGTAAGGGGGTCAGATCTAGTTTGATTGCAGACTTTAATTACACTGAGCAAGGACTCACATTGAAAAGATGTTCATGATTTATTAGACCCCTCTGTGTGGTTGACTTCCTTGTTCCGTTCTCCCTTCATTTCTCTGTGTTAGATGTCTGAGGAAATATTAGATCAGGTTTCTGTTCTTAGCATTTCATTTATTTAATTCTATATAGAGTTCACCCAAATGGCAAAGGATCATTTTGTCTGCTGGGATTCAGGAATATGAAAGCAATGTATTGAAGGTGAGACTCTTTATGACACTATCACAATGACTCTTGATAATGAAAGTCAAACAAGGTGAGTAGATTCAGGACGGTGTCGTGGCTCTGGCTGCAGCAGCTCTTATGTTATCTGTTGGCGCACAGACACACTGAGGCATGAAATGTAGTCGTGTGTTGACACTGTCAAACGTGCTTAATGTTGTGCAAAGGTGGATAACAAGCAAAGAGAATAGAAACATAATAAATAGAATGTTTATATCTATTTATAAGCAGAAATGCATCACAAAAATGTTGATGAGTTAGTCTCACATATATTAAAGCTTTTCTGCCTTATCTAAGGATCAAATTCTGTCATCCTGCAGACTTATTGTGCTACAGTATCATTTGTGTGAATAATATAATGTTATATTATTCACACTATTTACCGAGTTCCATACATATTATGTAATCATTTTCATTGGTAATAAAAAGTGCACACAATCCAACTTTCCAGCTGTTGCCTTCTATCGGCAAAAGTAATAATTTCAATACTTACAATACTGTATGATAAATAATATCAATCCAGTTATTGCCACTTTCCTGCCAGCTTAGAATCAAAAATAGATATCCACAGGACATTTTGTAATGGATGGGTGCCATAATACATGGATGCTAAGCCATTTTCTGTCAGACTCTGAAATGAATGCATTAACAACTGGTATTTTTTTGTTTTCCAGGTGGAGACTGTGCCACTCTGTTGAAGAACATCGGGGCTCTGCCTGTGGAGCTGACCAGGATGTACTTTGCTGAGACAGTTTTAGCCCTGGAATACCTGCACAACTATGGCATCGTTCATAGAGACCTCAAACCCGACAAGTGAGTGTTAAAAGCTGCACTAATTAAGATTTTAGGAGATCAAATGACTACATGTGATATGAAAGGGCTTGCTTGTAATGATTAACTCACAACAAATGATCACCCAATGTTTCCTTTTAGCATCTTGCAGCTAATTATTATGATTTTACAGCGAGCAACATACTAACAGATTTGTTTGGCAAGGACTTGAATGTTACACATGTTACATTTTAATTGATTGCAAAAGTGTGATGTAGCTGTAATGACACAGGTAGTACAGGTAAAAAAAATAATGTTAAGGAGATTAATGAAAATGAATGTGGCCTTCTGGGTAAAACTATAACAGGCCACAATATATCCAAATGAGCTTGGATTAATCTCATTTGGCAAATTGAGGCAGACAGAAATTAAATCTAGATACTTCTGTTGTCCTTCTCGGTCGGAAGGTGCAGTTTCTCTGTGTGTTCATCTGTTGCACGCCAGTCTCATGTGTCCATTCCTCCACTCAAGCCCTCTCCCTGGTGGATTATGCAAGACCTGCTGACGAAAACAATAAATGACAACCTGTGATCATGACCACACACTCCATTATATATGGATTTTATTGCAATGTACTAGAATGTAATGCCTGTTTCCTCTCTCCAAATAGTCTACTGATCACCTCCATGGGACACATCAAACTTACGGACTTCGGCTTGTCGAAGATGGGTCTAATGAGCCTCACCACCAACCTGTACGAGGGACACATTGAAAAAGATGCGAGAGAGTTCCTGGATAAGCAGGTACAGTTGCAACCTAGTAGCAGCCTCTACTATAGGTAGTATAGATACTTTATCACCATATTATAGTGGAAGCAGGATGCAGGAAGATATATTTCATTAGTAACCGTTTGAATGAGCTGTGTGATGGGATGTTTGGTGGATGAACAAGCGACTGCCACTCACAGCATCTTTTATTCTTCTCCAGCCATGTGTATCAACCTGCCTAGTCATCTGGCAAAATCCATCATCTCCAAAAAAAGACATTGCATTACAATCAATGCATCCTGTGTAGTCTGAATTAGTGAACCATTATTGATCCCCATCTCCATCACAATCCCATTTTTAGCAATTATAGTTATTGTTTATGCTCTGAATGAAGCTGATCATAATCAGTCAGCTCTTCTGGGTGGAAGCAGCATCTGTTTGTCTGCCAGTAATCAACTCACATCTGTGGATGAAAAGGACCTGGGCTTTCTGTTTTTCATTATATTCTGATCAGGAAAGTGTTTCTAATTCTCTCAATGAGGATGTCTTTGTTGTGTAAAAACTGTGGTTAATTGGAAAAATACTTTTCATATGATTTGTATAAACCCACATTTCCTCTTACAATCTAGTTGTTTTATTTTTAGTTTAATTAGATTGTTAACCTAAACATTTTTAAAAGTAAAATATACATTTTGTGTTCAGCAGTTGAACTTTTGAAGTAAATTATTTATTAGTTTCCTTTTTTTTGATGAGGGAGAATTTGAATAAATAGATGTTTTTATTTAGTCAAATTGTTTAACCTGTTAAATAACTTTTTGGTACAAAATCTATATCAGAGACAACCTTGACACAATCTTGCGATGGGATCACACCAACCACCAAATAGCTCCTTTCTATTTATTATGACAATCAACATATTTTTATATTTCTGCAGGGGACCTTAAAGCCCGTGTCACACTGTCCCGAAATTGACACCCGATGGACACACGATAAAATAAATGTTCAAATTCGGCTCTGATCGTAACAACATCGGGCCATTCGTGAGGGCATCTTAAGCCATCGTATGACCGCCGGTGGAGTTTCTCAGGCTCCGGCAGCAACTTCGTGAGCGGCAACTTCGTAAGGCACTCGTGAGGGCATCTTGTCAAATCGTGTCATCTTCGTGTTATCATCGGTGCCATCGGGCGTTCGCCCTCACTCTGATCGGGGCGAATGCCCGATGGCACCGATGATAACAAGATGGCCTTACGAAGGGCAAAATTGACACACAAATTCAACACGAAAATTAACCTTCGCTAGGTCAAAGATGTTGCCACCGCTCACGAAGTTGCTGCCGGAGCCTGAGAAACTCCACCGGCGGTCATACGATGGCTTAAGATGCCCTCACGAATGGCCCGATGTTGCTACGATCAGAGCCGAATTTGAACATTTCCTTTATCGTGTGTCCATCTGGTTGTTTTATTGCACAACAAAATCATGTAAACATATTATGTAAATAACCCAATTTGTGTTCTGTGAAACTGAAAAGGATATAATATATTATTTTGAAGGCGAGTTGACAGGAAGTTATTGTTGCTATGGAAACAACATTACGGAGAAAACTTAATATCTTCTACATATAAAGACGGATAAAGTAAAGAATAAAGTCTGAAGATATCAGTACAGTATCATAGTACTGTAACATAATTGTTTTTGTTACTTTCGTTGCATTTGTATGTCTTAAATGTAATGTAAATGTTGCCTTCGTGTGTGGTTCGGGGCCATCTTCGTGCGAAATTCACAATTCCATATTCGTGTGTCCATCGGGTGTCAATTTCGGGACAGTGTGACGTGGGCTTTGGAGAACATTCGCATAAAATGGGAAATGATGAATGCATTTTATAATGGATTACATCACATAATAGTTTTCAAGCTTCTCCAACAATTGTTTTACTCTTTCTTTCTTCATTATTTTCTTCTCTTCCTCTGTCTTCCCATTGTTTGCACCTCCTCTCCCTCACTCAGGTGTGTGGTACTCCAGAGTACATCGCTCCCGAGGTGATTCTCCGTCAGGGCTACGGGAAGCCGGTGGATTGGTGGGCTATGGGCATCATCCTCTATGAGTTCCTGGTGGGCTGCGTGCCTTTCTTTGGAGACACTCCTGAGGAGCTGTTTGGACAGGTCATCACAGGTAAGAGGACAGTGGTAAACTTACACTATTTTATTTGTGAGGACACTCTCAAACGGCTCACTTTTAGCAATCAAAAAGCAAGACACAAAGGTAGTCCGGTATGCTTTGAGTGAACTGGGTTTCTTGGCTGTCTTTTGTTATAGAAAGTGGGTCCAATGTGTGTGTCACTATTCTTATTTAATAGCATGCATCTCTAGCAAGTGATGTAGTCAGAGCAGTGTCAAGCCTTTCCACTTTGAATATTCCTACAGATAATAGAATCGATTTCTTTCTTATAGCTTTCTCCCTTGGTGTGATGCAGTTATGTAGAACACTTTTCCAATAGCTCAGATAAGCCGATGAATTACAAGTTGAAAATGCCTTTCTTGCTTCGTACTCTGACCGTTTTTTGTTGTTTTTGTCTCTGTTAGATGATATAGTTTGGCCTAATGGGGATGAAGCCCTGCCTGCAGACGCCCAGGACCTCATCTCTGCCCTGTTGCAGACCAACCCTCTCCTGAGGTTGGGTACAGGTACTAACTGTTGCATTAACTTGATATAAGAGCTCTGATCTGCACCCACTTTTGATTGGTTTGAGGAATGCATGTTTCCATGAATTAACACAATTTCCAAAGAAAAATTCAGGTTTTAAAACATTATGTTACCCAGTACTCAACAAAAACAACTCGTTTTTTCCCCATTAAGTCTTGCTCTGATACACTGTCGTTTTGCTGTCCACCAACTCCTTGTTATGTTCACCAGCTATATTTAACTTTGGCTGTTTGGTGTTCAGTGATAGGAAGGTAGTGTACAACATGTTTGAGGGCCTTTTTAATGATATCAACAGCCCCAAATGAGACTGATAAGAACAGTGAGAGTGAAGAAAAACAGTAATAGGGCAAATCAATATCCTGAAAGTGACAAAACTGTTCTGTACAGCTGAGGGGAGTGCAGGTTTTAGTTATATTTTTGTATCGTTATGAGTTCCCTTTAACATACGTTTTAAGCAGCTTTGAATATTCCGTCCATCCAGTGTTTTGAGTTGTGTTGTGTGTGCCACCAGGCGGAGCGTTTGAGGTGAAGCAGCACGGGTTCTTCACCGAGCTGGACTGGAACAGCCTGCTGAGACAGAAAGCAGAGTTCATCCCTCACCTGGAGTCAGAGGAGGACACCAGCTACTTTGATAGTAGGTTCCTCTGGATGTATGTGTCAGTGCAGCAGTTACATCAATATTAGCTCTATGGGGTGTCCAACAATTTTCTGACGCTGTTCCAGTTAGAAAAGCACTTTTCATGTTAAACTGACAGCTTATATAATTCATCTCTCTACCTCTCTCCCCTGCCAGCACGCTCAGATCGGTATCATCACATCAATACGTACGACGAGGATGACACCAATGACGATGAGCCCGTGGAGATCAGACAGTTCTCTTCCTGTTCTCCTCGCTTCAGCAAGGTTTGTCTTCTCTTTCATCTCTCTCTTACTCAGTTTTTATTCCTTTTTGGCTGTTTCATCTTGTGCTATTTTGTCACTGGACACTGGAGATTAGTTGACAGGTTGAGTAAGTATCTCTAGGCCTTGTCTCTACCCTGTGTATCGTGTGTTAAAAGACATCTTTTATCTTTTTCCCTACCCACTGTTTCCATGGCCGTATCTCTATTAATTATGGTCTCTCTCTCTCTCTCTCTCTGTCTCTCTGTGTGCCAGTTTTTTCTTCTTGTCACACTTCCCCTTTCGGATGGGATTTTCTCACCTCATGCCGTCTATTTATCCTTTTTTGACTCCCTCCCATTACCAACTTCCCTCCCTCTCTCACTTGCTCTCCTTCCATCTGCCTCCCCTCGGTATCTCACATACACTCTGTTGTTTCACCCGTGAGGTCGTGGAGGAGCTCTTCAGAAAACTGAGAGCGCCTCATTGAGGGGCTTCATTTCAATAACATTTGAAGTTACGGTCAAGGGCTGGTGAGTGGCCTCGTTTAAAGCAAAGCATGTGAACAAAGACCTCGGCTGAATACACTTACATAGGTCTACAGTTAACTACACAAGTATTTTATTCATTATCATTTAATAATGTAGAGCTGCAAGGATAATGGTAGAAAATTATCCATTTTATAAGCAAAAAGCACTCACAGATTTCCCCTTTCAGTTCACAAAAGCCTTTATACAACTGCTGTTTTAGGTTTGTCATGCTTTTAGAAATTGTTAGATAGTGTCTGTGGGGGCTGTCTCTTTTGCATCATTTCTATAGCAATCACTTTGGTACTTTTTAACTTTTATGATTTTGTCTTTCTATGAATGTCCTCTCTGTCTTATTTCTGATGTAATTCACGGTCTCTTTTGAGAAAATACCTTTCTTCCAAAATAATATCTTGTTAAAGGGCACGAGATACTTCTTAGATTATCATATCAGCATTGCATTACAACAATAACCCTACATATTTAAATGTCAGCCTGATACATAGAACATAATAACAAATACAGTAAATATGTATAAATGCAGCAAAACAATAATATAGCTGTAACCCAGACTCAGTAGCTACCTTTTCCCAGAGCTGTTAACAGATCAGATGATGATTGGTCCGTGTCCCTGCAGGTGTACAGCAGCATGGAGCATCTGTCTCAGCTGGAGCAGAAAGCTACGACCTCTGTGTCCCGGCGGGAGCACAAGGGCCCGCGGGATGACAAGGTCACCAAGAGAGAGAGCCTGGGCAGCTTGAGCATGAGAGACAAGAGCTGGAGGACTGGGTCCCCCGAGATGTGAGTGGAGATCATTATCAAATGAGGGCTGGTAGAAGCATGCATGCAAATGAGGTGGGGTGTTCAGTATAGTAAAGGGAGGGACAGTTCACCACAAAATCAATCAATGTTCTGACCTGTTGTGCTATGTATCATTCTAGATTGTTTTGGTAGGAGTTGCCGAGAATTGAAGCTATAGACAGTAGAGATGTCTGCTCTTCAATACAAAAAGCATCAGATTGTACTCGCCTTGTGGTGCTCAAAGCGCCCAAAAAATGTATTTGAAAAACTGGAATTTTTCCGGAAATCCTGACCTGGTTTCTCAAGATAATCCACAGATTTGGTTGTGAGCAGTTCTGTGTACGAGCAATTTTCCCTCTACTGTATCACCGTGCAGAAGACAGTTAGAATGTACTCATGGACATGAAACTTGTGCTCACTTGTTTGCATGTGTAGTTCAGTAAAGAGATTCAAATACTACATGAAACTGCTCAAAACAAGGTCTGTAGATTATTTTGATTACTTTGGTCATTATTTCTTAGAAAGATAATCCTCCGGCTCTTCAACTCACAACAGAGCAATCTCAGATTGATAAAAAGCACGGCAGAGGAAACATTTAGTTTTATTATTTTGGGGGGGACTGATCCTTTAAGATAAGACCGATTTTGTTCAGAAGATAGTTTCCTGAAGTTTTTTTTCTCTCTCTGCAGCATTGCTGTCACATATCCAAGTGTGCCGGCATAACTTTGCTTTCTATCTCTCTGACACCAATTTTGACACTTCTTGTATAAAAAGATCTTTGTGCGAGAGCTCACACTCAACAGATCCCACATCTGCAAGTTGGGAAACTAGTTTGGTGAAACTGGATGGATATGACTCACAGAAACACAATATGCCTCTGAATTGGTTGATAAATATGTAGCAGATTTTCTCACTCACATCTAGTGCCTATTTTTACAATCAAAAACACAAAAGGAGAATAACTATTGAATACAGGAGGTTTAATGCTACTGAATGTGTACCTTTCATTGTGAAGTTAATTTACAAATATAAGTATTTATGTAGTAAAAATCTGTCTGACTCAGATAAAGATTATTTATATTGGATTGAAAAGTGACTTCTGTATTTGGTGAACATTATTCTGCTGTGTTGCTTTGCGTGTTGTGTCTCGGAGCAGCTAACAAAAACTACAATCTGCTGAGTCCAGACGCATTGTTGACGGACACATTTCTGATTGAGAGCATAGAGGCAGAAAGGGATTCCTATTACTTCTCATAACTCCATTTCACCTCAATCTTCAGGAAGCATACGGCTGGACTTCAATCTCTTTGCATTCATATGTAAAATAAAATCATTCATGCATACATTCTGCATTCATAATAATAGTAAGAAAACGTGATATGGTGAAGGTGGCTCATCATTTTCTACCTTATTGGATTTTCACTTTCCCATATCAAGTACGAAATATTAGTATCTCTAGTCTATGATTGCCTTTTGGCTACAGCTCATTACATTCATTCCTTGCTTTAATTAAATGTGTTAACTAACAAAAGTATTTTTACATTAAGTGTTACTCACTCATGGCTGCAACTAACAATTATTTTCAAAATCGAGAGTAATCAATACATATTTGGGCTATAAAAAGTGTGTCCTACCAGTTTTCTCAAAGTTCAGAGTAATTTATATCTAGAACATTGAAATGCTTTGTTTTGTCAGATATCCCAAGATATTAAGTTGTACATGATATTAAACAGAGAAAAGAAGGAAACATCCATATTTAAGAGGCTGAAAACAGCCTTTTCTGCAATTCTTGCATGATAAAATACTTAAACGATTAGTAGACTATTTGACAATTATTTTTCTGTGGACCGAATCTTTGATTGGTCTACTAATTGTTGCAGCTCTAGTTGCCATGCCATTATGCACAGACATTCAATATCCCAAGAGAGTATTTCTGCTGACTTTGGCAACCAACCAAGATATTCATTTTTTCAAATCCAGGCAAAAACAAATATTATATTCTTTCTGCCTTTCTGTGTGTTTATGTAGGTCAATATGTGTTCAATACTGCGCAAAGCCCTTTGGTCAAGTGGGGGTTGTCTTCAAACTGAATTATAGAACTGACTATATAACTGGCTTAGTGGACCATCATTATCAAATGTGTGTTTTAAGTGAAATCCCTTGAAAACTATTGGACGTCTAATGATGACATTTGGTCATCCATGTTTATTTACTAGCACACTGTTTCTTTGAAAATATATTCTGCCATTTCTGCTTTATCAGATATACGGTGCATGCAATCTACCACGGGAGTTACCACGGTGTCCCAGTGGTCTTTTTCTTTCTTGGTAAAACCTGCACGTTGATGTGTGTTTAGGTGTGTTACTGCTAAGCGTAAATCAGTGTAAACCTGTGAGACACACACGAAACAGAAATCTCAAAACCAAGACAAATTAAACATGTCTAGATAACACACATTCATGTCCCCCTAAGGATGAATGCAAATCATTTTGGCCATCCCTTCATTTATATCAAGCGCCTTTATTAGGTCAAGATGTAAATCTGATTTATGACCAAATACATGTAAAACTAACATGACCATCAGCTATAGCTGCACACTGTGAAGTGTACTCGGTCTACCCAGAAGCCCCCCCCTCTCAATCAACTTCCTCTTGACTGCCTTTTTATTTATTTTTTATTTTACTATACTTACTTGTTTGCCTGTCCTTATTTGTCTATCCTCCCGCATACTGTAAAGCATCTTTGAGTTGTGAAAAGCGCTATATAAATAAAATGCATTATTATTATTAGTGCTAATAAGCAAATGTTAGCATGCTACATGGTTCTCATCAGCATGTTAGCATGCTTACTTTAGCATTACCCTGAAAAGAACCACTTTGTATAAGCACAGTCTTACTGAGCTACTGTCATGGCTGTAGCCTCTTATCGCAAGCAGAACACTGTGCATCATCTCATACGCATGTGTTTCTGTCTTCTCTTGCAGGAAGCGCCTGTCTTGTTCAGAGTCCCTCTACACGGACGGGGATTCCAGCCCCCCTCTTGGTGCTCGCCGGCGCTTCTCAGCACTGATGGATACACATCGTTTTGCCTCGCCTCTAGACACTGAGCCTGACTTCCTGTCCCGCCAGGCACCCATCAGGGTCCGTGGAACCTCCCTGGATGGGACCAGCGTCCCCTCCCCGAGCCTCCTGGAGCAGAGGAACAGTCTGAAGGAGATCAACGGAGCAGGTGTGTGTGCAGGGAGAAGTATCGGAGGTAGTGAAAGGTAATGGGAGAGGAAAGAATATGAGAGAAAATAGTCAAGATAATAAATGGTAAAGAATAAAGCAGTCAGAGAAATCAACAGGGGGGCCTAAGAGTGGAGGAAGTGAAAAACCCTCCTGTAATATCTTATTAGATGACTACTTCTGACTCAGTTGGACAAATCACAGCATTACTGTTTTCAGCTCTAAGTGCTACTTTAACCTTAACCCTTCTCTTGTGTTTCGGATCAAAAGTGACCGAGTGACTTTGTTTTTGATCATAAATATTGTGTTTAACATCCACTTGCCTCAAGACCTTATGTTATCCTCCACTTGCATTGATTTTTTAGTGATTTATTCAACAGTGAAACACCCATGACCACCATAGGAAATGAATGGGTATGAGTGTATTATGTTCAATGGAAAACATCTCCACACACACACACACACACACACACACACACACACACACACACACACACCCCCCAGTCTCTCTCTCTCACACACACACACACACACACACACACACACACACACACACACACACACACACACACACACACACACACACACACACACACACACACACACACACACACACACTTCTTGTGCTTGCGTCCCCCCACACCTTCCAGACAAAACAATGTACTCTAAGTTACGGGAACCTCTCACTTTCTCGCGCTCATACTTGCCAACCCTCCCGATTTTCGCGGGAGACTCCCGATTTCATTGCCCTCTCCCGGTTTCCTCCCGGGGTCATATTTCTCCCGCATTTCTCCCGATTTCTAACAAAATCAGATTTACTCAGGACTGTTTCCACTCAGACTTTAATACAGCTACACCATTGTTTGGTTTCCGTGGTAGCGCGTCTCTTTAGTAGCGCGCGCAACTGAAAGTCTGAGAGGGTGAGCCGATAGTCACAGAAAACAGAACAAGAATCGACAACTATACCCTCTGCTCACTCCTTTCCTGAAAAATACAGGTCCAGCCTGCTCCATCAAGGATGGTGCTACAGGCTGCAAGACAGTGCACTTACAACTACAATAAGCATGTGTAGATGTTAATCTAATACAGCTCCGGCGATCCACTAACACCCCCTCCCCCCACACCTGCTCACGATTTCTGAGGTCTCAAGATCTCAAGGTTGGCAACAGGGTCGGCTCTAGAACAAATCGAATGGGGGGGCAATCATTTACAAAGGGGGGGCACACACTGCCGTCAACAACCAACACACAAACACCAACGCAACTTCAAAAAACATGCTGTAAAGTATATTGTTTTTCACACCCATTGCAGGGGTGTAGTGCTATTGTATAGCGCACCTATGACCTGTGCATACATGCACGGTTGTGGCACGACCACCAAAACAGAAACATATGGACATAGGCCACCATACAAAAAGTGTGCAAATGTATTTAGTATCCTATCCATGTGAACATGTTTTAGGTGGGGGTGGACCTAACGTCCTCTAGGAGGGTCTGGGGCATGCTCCCCCGGGAAGATTATTTTAAAAATATTGAAGTTAAAAGCATCAATCTGGTGCACTAAGAGAGCAAAATGAAGAGATCTATGGATAGTCTACATCTCTCAGCATCCATATGAAACAGAACTGTACACAGATTTACTTTTTCTTTATGGATATTTTACTAATCACTCCCCTTTTAAACTGTATTCTTGTGTTACTGTCCTATAGTATTTCATACCCGTTTTTTTTATTTATTCTCTTATTCTTTAATAACTATAATGATCATATAAAGGTGTTTCTCGCAAATACTTGTTTACATAAATGGTGACCAAACCGTTTGAGACCCACTGAGATAACCTACACTAAAGTTAACTATCTAAACACTGAGAGAGTCCTTACCTCACTGAGCTGAGGTTATACGATCCTCTCAGTCTGACAGGAGAGGACTCTCCTCCACCTTGGTGTAGAAACAGCTCTTTATATCCGTTAGCATAGCTAGCTAACCAGATCATGCTAACATCAACATTCCACGTTACCACTTGCGCACTCACAAAATGCGCTCGTGCCACACACACACACAGAGCCGAGCTTGAATGAAACACAGAGACCCAGAAGTAGGCTACTTGTACTGTACTGTATATCATATTATTTCGATGGCTTTACTGTATAATCAGTGTAACAGATGAACAGATCGCCACCGGGCTTTCATCTGAACACACAGCCACGTAATGATAACAAAACAAAGGTCGGGGGTCATTGGTCAAGCAACACACCAATCAGAGAGCAGCAGTGAGCACAGCTCAGGCTGTGTTTTAAATGTTGTATTCTTTATTTCTGACGTATTTCACACAAAAAACCTTTAGTGGAAACGCTTTCACTTATATGTTTTGTTTTTTTTAAACGGCAAAGTGGCAAGGCTTGCCCACCCTGCGTTGGGGGGGCACAGTGACTCATTTGGGGGGGCATGGCCCGCGAATGACCCCCCATGACGCCGACCCTGGTTGGCAAGTATGAGTCGCTGTATGATACAATGTATCATACCTTCTCACAGGTGAGCTCTGTGCCCCTAGAGAAAGAAAAACCTCTCACTTTCTCACAGTAAATGCGCCTCCATTACTGTCTCTCATGCAGTTATATTTGTGCCTTGCTCACATTTGACTCATTGACACAATGAGTAGGCGACCGATTAGAGTTTTGAACCAGATGAAGAGGACGATGTCTCAGAAATGGAAGACAACAGCGATCCAGACTATGAGCCTGACCAACAGTCAACAGACCAGGAAGAGGCCCCTGAGGGAGAGGAGCCCTGAATATTTATTTCTCTCTAAATGTTCATTGAGGAGAACAGTATCAGTGTCTTATTTTATATCCATCACAGTGAATGCAGTGAATGCTGAACTTGATGTGCCCACCGGTGGGTCCGGACCATATACTGTAGTTGAAAGTACACGATGAAACACTGACTTGCTTGTATCAAATCAATACATCCCATACATCATTGGAACGGGAAGAATCTCAGCTACAACACCAACTAAAGCATTTCCATCTCCAGTAAACACAGCCTACATGGCAAGCATTTTTATAATATACAGTAATGTACAGTAAGCACTATCTTTGAACTTACTGCCCAATTATAACATGAAATTCACCCCTGGTGTCATTCTGTCTGTCACCCCTTGATTCTACTTGCTTTGACTGTTCAAATGAGATGTTAACCATCAAAATTGGATAAGGGGTTCCAGAGATTTGACTGTGCAAAACACACCGGTCAATTTTGACAGAAAATAGTATGGGAAAGGGGGTATGACCTAACGCAAGAGAATGGTAAGCTATAATTTCCACCTGACTCTTCATCCTTGCAGACAAATCCCCTCGACATGGAGAGACCCCAGGAGTCAGCACAGCTATAGCCATATTATCCTCAGGTCCTGCAGCAGCCGATCGTGATGTGATGACTCCTCTGTGTGACCCTCTGGGGGCCCGGGCCACCAACGACCTGGTCCTCCGCAGGGCGCGCCATCAGCAGTTGTCTGGTGAGGGAGATAAATGCAACTCCAGGGCTGGAAACAAGGTCATAAAGTCAGCCTCTGCCACAGCCCTGTCCGTCATCATACCATCAGGTGAGCAATACATAGGGAAAGGTTAGAATAGAATCATAATGGAATGGATTCGTTTTTTTAGATATTTACACCGGGTGTTATTTTCTCTCCAGTGGAGCAGCATGGCGGCTTCTCTCCGCTGGCCAGCCCCATGTCTCCCCACTCCTTCTCCTCCAACCCCTCGTCCCGGGACTCTTCACCCAGCAGGGACTTCTGCCCGGCCGTCAGCGTGCTGCGCTCCCCCATCACCATCCAGCGCTCTGGGAAGAAGTACGGCTTCACTCTCAGGGCCATCAGGGTCTACATTGGAGACAGTGACATCTACAGCGTGCATCATATTGTTTGGGTAAGAATCTAGTAGTAGTTGTACTAGAGCTAAATGTATGGTTCTGAATTTAAAAGGGATGGTTTTTGAGTCTAGGGTTTAGGTGGCATCACTGAATTAGAAAAACCTCAATTTTAGCAGTCATTGCAATAATTTCCGTTTTACTTACATTTGACTAGTTTAATGTTATGAGACCATAAAAGAGAACTGTTCTGTACTTAGCTTTGTGATGAATTAGTCATTACCAAAAATTCCAAGGCTCATTGTATTGTTAAACATTTTAAACCTTTATTTAACTGGCTTGGAACTTTAGCGGGCCTTTAGATGCTCTAGAGAAGACAGGAAAGGCATAGGAGCTGTGCCAATTTAATTAAGGCTTTTTACAACACAGTGTGTGTAGATGCTTTGATTTAGCATTCTGTTGCAGTTCATTTTAAATTTTTAAATAAAGTAGATGTTGTATTATAAAAGAATCAAATTAATCCTTTCCTCTAATCTGACACAAACATACATAGATCTCAACTGAAAGGTTTCAGGATCATTTTAGGACGAATTTTTCCAGTCTTTAAAGATACTGGGTGTTTCTCAATGTCGAGGAAGGATCCTCCAGGGCCACTATTTCAAGGATGCTACATCATCGAGTCCCGCTGAAGGACTGTTCCAATGTCCAGGATCCTTGGAATTCTACCGAGGCTGGCGTCCTTCGTTGCCGGAAATTTTGAGGCTGCACATGTGTATCCTCTGCGGTTAAAATCCCCACAATGCTTTGCGCACGGACCAATTTCCCAAATCTTTGGCGGAAATCACGCTCCATTTAAGGCGGAGCCTCGCATATGACGCACACCTGCACACCCGATAACCTGTTCCACCATTCTTCGTTTTCCGAGGCTAGGAAGGATTCTTGCCTCGCTTCTGAAGGACCTGACTCGGAAGACATGTCCTACCAAAAAAGCGTCCTCGACATTGAGAAACACCCACTGTCTAAGATCCAAGTCCTGCACTCTGACTGTTTGCATGTAAATCATTTTGACCTGTTGTGGACTTGAATGTTTTGTGTGACTCTGCAGCATGTGGAGGAGGGCGGCCCCGCACAGGAAGCTGACCTGTGTGCCGGTGACCTCATCACACATGTCAACGGGGAGTCGGTCCACGGTCTGGTCCACACTGAAGTGGTGGAGCTCATCCTGAAGGTAGGCAACGTATTCAGATGATATGTATTTTTCTCTGTATTTATTCTTTGTTTTGAATTTCAAATAAAAGTGTATTTTTGTAACTGAGTTTAGTGGCACTTTATTTATTCCAACTCCACATTAAACATGCCAATTCATTCTGTAAACAAAAATAACATTTTCTTGGAAGGTTTGTGATACTACAATGGATCAATGTAGAATATTATTCATTGTTATTTATCTGTGTAGAGTGGAAACAAGGTGACGGTGACGACCACTCCTTTTGAGAACACCTCCATTAAAGTGGGGCCCGCTCGCAAGGCCAGCTACAAGTGTAAGATGGCTCGACGCAGCAAGAGGACCATGGGCAAGGACGGCCAGGAGAGGTACCTGATTTTATTTGTAACTCGATAAAAACACAATATGCAAAGTAAAACTATTTCTAATATGCTCTGGGAAATGGTAAAATGGCAAAGCCCATTGGATAGAATTACAAGGTGAAACGTATAACATAAATTATATTATGTCAATCCCACTTAAAATCCTTCTTTCTTTTCTTTGTCTGTCCTGCAGTAAGAAGCGTAGCTCCTTGTTCCGTAAGATCACAAAGCAGTCCAATCTGCTGCACACCAGCCGCAGCCTGTCCTGTTTGAATCGCCCCCTGTCCTCCAGTGAGAGTCTGCCTGGCTCTCCAACTCACAGCTTGTCTGCCCGATCCCCGACGCAGGGCTACCGCTCCACACCTGAGTCCTCATACCTGGGTAGGACACTGGAAATAAACAATGCACATACAAGAGTTCAAAAAGATAAATGAACTCCGATCGATTAGAAAGATTACATTAAATACTGCAAAGAAAACAAGAAGACATCATTAAAAAAATTGGGAGTTCCAAAACACATCGTAGGGAAAGTAAAGTGAGCTTATTTAAAGCCTTGAAATCGTGTTGATATTTTCTGCTTTGTGTTCTCATAGGTGCCTCCTCCCTGAGCAGCTCTCCAGCCTCCAGCACCCCAAACTCCCCCGCTCCCTCTCAGCACATGAGGCCCAGCTCCCTGCACGGCCTCTCCCCCAAACTCCACCGGCAGTATCGCTCTGCCCGTTGTAAGTCTGCAGGTAACATCCCCCTGTCCCCTCTCGCCCACACCCCCTCTCCTACCCAGTCTTCTCCTCCACCGTTGCCTGGCCACACGGTGGGGAGCTCCAACACCACTCAGTCCTTTCCCGTGAAGCTCCACTCCTCGCCACCGGTGGTCCGTCCAAGGCCCAAGAGTGCTGAACCCCCCCGATCGCCTCTTCTCAAACGGGTGCAGTCAGCAGAGAAGCTGGGCTCGCCTCTGACCCAGTCCAGCTCTGGGGGGCTCGGGGGTCCGCTGAGGAAGCACAGCCTAGAGGTGCAGCACTCTGAGTATCGTAAGGATGCTTTCCTCTGTGAGCTCGGCCTCCAGAGCCTGCTGGAGACAGAGGGGGAACATTTGCCTCAAAATCCTCCACCCCTGCCCTCATCCTCTACAAGTCCAGAGACGGGTGTCCTGAAGCCTGTAAGGAGACTAGGGAGACAGGAGTCACCGTTAAGCAGGGAAACACTGCTGGCTGGGAGGGATAGGGAAGAGAGGGAGAGAGGAAGGGAAAGGGAAAGGGAGAAAGACAGGGCGACTGATTCAGTCCTGGAGAGATTGGGTCGGCTTGGAGGAACATCATCCCAGTCACCGTTAACAAGAAAACCTCAAACAAGTGATCTGTCGTTTAGCCCGCATGCTGGCCAGAGCTCCAGACTAAATGCAGAAACCACAAAAACTACAACTTCCAGCACCCCTACCAAAACAACAGGAAGTCTAGGTGGTCATAAGGAACCTGAAAGAATTCCCCATAGTCCGTCAGACTTGAATTCAAAACAGCAAGACTACCAGGCAGCCAAACATTTTTCACCTTACAGTAGAGAGCCCCAGGAGCAGCTATGGGGCAGAACTGAACCAAAGCAGGAAGGAGATAACAGAAACAGGCCTGGTCCGCTTAGTCCCGCCTTCACTAAGAGCTCTGCTTCTACTCCAGATAAATCAATCTCCATCAACGCAGTGAAAGCAGGTTTTCTCAGCATGAACAAAACCTTTAAACCACCAGGTATGGGGGACAGTCTGAGAAAGGCAGGAGCAGAGAGCATTGACTCAAGGACTCCAGACTTTGGCTCCAAAAGCCCCAAACTCCCAGTTCGCGTTCTCGCTCCAGTCGTCCCCCCACATGGGCCGCCGCTCTCGCTGGGCAAGGTAAGGCAGGGGCTTGGGCCGGTCAACTGCTACCGGGGAACCCTAGACTGGGAGGACAAATGTCGTCTGGAGGTGGTGGAGGAGCATTCGCCTTCCCCCTCTCCCTCCCCGACTTCTGTCGCCCCCTCTCTCTGCGGACCTTCCCTCTGTAAGTCCAGGCCTGTCTCCCCCGGTGAAAAGACGAGCTTCGTCAGCCAGCTGACCACTGTGGCCAAAAATGTCCTCGGGCCAATCAAGCTTGGCTCCCAGGAATCGTCCAAGAGCAAAGACCTGCAGACTAAAGCAGCCGAGGAGAGGCATGGAGGCTCAGCAGTAAAGTCTGACACTCCTGCAGGAGGTCGAGGGGCTTCGGTGGTCACCCAGAGTCCAGCTGGTTCAACACTAGAGAGGGCTGCAAAAGGTAGCAGCCAATCAAAAATGTGACCAAATGGGACTTTAAAAGAGTAAAAGGAAAGAAAATATGCCTTTTTTTTTGGAATAACAATGTAATAGAAGTCAAGCACTTAAAAACAATGTACATTCCAGTGACAGAGTATATAAAATGTTATTTATTTATTCCAATCATTGACTGATTCTAACTTAAAACCAGGAGAAAAATTATCTACTGTTAAGGTGCATTATCTGTTGATTTTCTATTTTAAAGTATTTAATAAGAAGACTCTTAATGTAATGTGGAACACTTTATCAGATGTATATGTGTGTGGGTCTATGTGAATGCATGTCCTATGGTATGTACTGTACATCTATTAAAGGTACAAGAAGGTCAACAAGTGCTTTACCGATCAAAACATGCTGAAAACTGTGAATACCAAATCCAGTCACTCTATTTGTGTCTTTCAAGCTGCCCTTTTTCAATGTACTGCTTTTCAAACAGGACAATGATGAACTGAGTCACAGTCCAATTGTAATTTTGCATCAAGCTACAGAAATGACACACTGCCTCAGTTTGGCTACAGCGGGGTAAACATGATAAAGCTCATTTCTTCTTCATCCAGCAGTTTACTGAGTTACTGTGCACGGTCAGACAAATCCAGAGCAGGCCCACTGTCACTGGATGTCACGTCAAGCACTGTCCAGCTCTGTCTGTCGCATGGGATTGTGTGTATATGTGTGTTTGTGTGTGTATGAAGCCACCTTGGGTCTATTTCTGGTGGTTCTTGAAGGCTGTGTCCGTCTGCATAGGAAAGCGAGTTTGACAGTGCTCAGGCTCAGCGCTTATCTCCCCTTTGCAGGAGGGCTACCACAGCTCTTTTCTCCCCATGCCTCTGACTGCAGCCGACACACAAACACATGTACACACACACACACATTGCCACAGGAGGCAGCAATGTCAGCAGCTAATTGTCATGCATTCAAACCCATGCTCCATGAATTGGGACGTGAGTGTGTGTGCGAGTGAGTGACTTAAGATGTGTGTGAGAACGTGTGTCTTTTTAAGCGGCAATAACACTCAGCAAGGGCCATCATAACTGAAAGAAAACTGGCAGCAGATCCATCCAGTAAACAGTTACAGGCTTCACTGCTACTTTGTTTACAAACCACGCAGTGATAACTTATGTGGATATATTAAAAGGATTGCAAGCACATATTGGGTGGATTCATATGTTGTTTTGAGCCAAAACAGGAAAATCAGGCAGTCATGGATGTAGCATACTGTATTGTGTTTGTTAAAGGGCTCTTTAGCTAAGGTAGGGGTAGTGGATATGGGCATGGTACTGTATATCAAACAAGTTTATCTGCATTATAATCAGAATGACTGTATCGTGTTAGGTAGTCAAGATTGATTCATGTAACGCTCACATTGTAACATACTGACAAAGATTTGCTGAAAAGTATAAAATGTTCTCCTGACAAACAACTTGTGCTCTTCTCCCACTGTTGTATTCATATCCTTAGTAGTTAATTCTCAGTAACCATCCATTGTACATAATCTTATGCAAATCAATTACAGATGTGGTTACGACTGCTGTCACTAAACTGCTAATAGCTGATTTTTTGAAGGAAGTAAATCTGTCAAATTATTTAATCCATCTTTGATTTGATACCTCACTCTGTGACAGTTATTTATTAAAACAACTTTGATTATTTGAAGGTCTACAAATGTAAACTGATTCAACCAACAACAGCAACTTCACACAGAGGAAGAAGTTAATTGACTGGAATTTGTTTTTAAGTCCAAAAGGAAAAAAGTCTAACATTTGTTCCCAATCTGTTTTGCTATGCTGGGAGCAGTTGCTCATAATTTCGTTTTTTATTTGTTGGAAAAACTGAAACAAAGAGCTGGATGTGGCTAATAGCTATTCTATTCTGTGGGAAGTCGATTTGGCTGGTCTTTTTACATTCGTAGTTTTTATTTAAAAGAAGGCTGTTAGCAATTTATTCTTGAATCTAACAATGTTTGAGGTACCAATCTTTTGACATGAGAAAGTTCCGGCCATGCACTAACCATTTCTTTTTGTGTGGCATTGTACACTACTGCCCTCCAGTGGACAACATATCGACTATTAAACATGTTTCCATAAAATGTTCTTTTTAGTAATCAAGCCAAGACCACCAAAATACTGCAGAATGGACTTTATTAGCCATAGGGTTACTGATTATGCATTTGTTTTAATGACAAAATATTTGCAGTTATTATCAAATGGACACTTGAAACATGGATGAATTCCCTTTCTGTTGTTGTGTTCTTCGCGTGACTGTTAATTGTATCTTCTGGAATAGGGATTAACATTTTTAATATAATATACTGTCTTATATATTCTACTGATAGGACGCAGTTCTTTTTTTATCTTGATGTAATAAATGAGTCATCAGGTCAGCTCTGATCACCTGATTGGAAAAACGAACTGTAATGTAATCTTATACAGCTATTATGCCCTCTTTCAGGCCTTTTCCCAATCAATGATGTCTATGCTAGTGTTACATGTTTGAGATTTTTTTTTGTGATTGACAGCGATAGTAGTATAAATGCACTTTATTTGAAAAGGAAATCTTCATTTGCTGGTATTGTTTGTAAGTTATTTTGAAGAAAAATAAAATATACTGTATACATATATGGATTCTACAGTATAAAAAGCATTCCACATTTCTCTGTTCACTGAAGTGTATTTATTTGTACCATGAGGCATTTTGTTTATGATAGATGTGATTCAAATGCAGACACCTGAAGTGCAGTATGTGGAATAAAATTCTGAGATTTGTTCCAAAACCCTTCTGTGATTTGAATCTGTTGTGTAAATGCTGAACACACCTTACATTATCTTATCGCAGTTAACACTTTTTAGGCTTCACACAGACAATAATAAATACAAAATAATTTCACAGCACAAATAACTTACAAGAACTAATAAAGTTGATTTGGTGTTTTCCATTTAGGTTTATCTGTTGGTATTGTCCGTTCTCCATTTTATTCATTTTTAAAGGTACAACAAAAATACAACTGTTATTATCACATGTTATGTCATAGTATATTTACCTTAAATAAGATAAGATTTTATTTATTGATACCCATAGGGAAATTCAGGATATGCTATGCACTACACACATACATACACAATACACATGCAAAACTAATTGTTGTTTTGGACAATACTATCATTTGATTTGTAGCCCAATAGGCAGTGGTGAAACGTAACTAAGTCAATTCACTCAAGTGCTATACTTCAGTACATTTTGAGGTACATGTATGTTATGCTATATTTACTCTATCACATTATGAAGGCAAGTAATTTCATTTTTACTCTACTATATTTATTTAATCATTATAGTTACTTGTTATTTTGAAATATAAAAACAAATGATGCGATATACTGTAGGCTACTGTACATTTAATATAGGCCTACCCACCCAGTATTAAAATCAGAAATGTAAAATATATAAAATTGACTCTCAATGGAGAAACTACAACATTAAAATAATTGGACATGTTTGCTACTGATAAAAACAGAATAATATATTGTTTTAAACATTTTTACTTTCAATATAGCCTACGAAGAACATTTGACTGATAATACTTTTGTACGTTTTATTCGATTATTATCCGTAGACTGTATTTTACAGTCAGCGTTCTCAACCAATGGCGTTGAAGCAGGAAAGGACATCAGGAAGTAAACGTTCTCTGCTCTTGCTGTCAAAAGGGGGTCGCTAAAGCGGTTGTTCGTCAGGGGAGCAAACGCCACTATGTACTTGATTATTTTCAACATAGCTTGTACAACTTAGCTTCTTGGTTGGATTTAAGAATGCCCAACAAACTGACACCAACTGCGTTTTGCTGAAAAGTCAATATCATCGCTCTGTCCGGTCTGAATGCTAGGTAGCTAGCGCCGGGGACTAGCGTCAACAATGCTAACCTTTAGCTTAGCTTTAGCAAGCTAGTACATTTAATTTATTTTTGAAGACTGCTGTCGTGGATGAAGACTAAGGATATTGCTGGAATGAGTCAATATACTCCAAAGTTTTGACCTTCTTAACTGGTTTCTACAGCAGGTATGTAGTTGTTAGCTAGTGAATCTTTAATGTAGTTGAATTAGCTGTGTTTAAAGGAGGTGTAACAGTACGGCTGTCAGTTTATAATTGGTCATGGATGTCGAGTTAAAACATGTTTTGTTGACTTTATTGCATTGATGTTGAGGACCAAACAAATGCATGGGAATATATGTGAGGATGTTAATCACAAATAAGTATGTTGCCTTATAGTTAAGGGTCACCACGCTCACATGACAAGTGTAGTGAGTATTTGCATTAAGTGTTTGATCTGCTGTGAGGAATGATGACAGCCACTACAGTCATATGACTTTCACAGCCGCTGAAAAAGCCCTTCCATGCCTGTTGTCAAATGCTGATCACATGGCTTTTCTTCACAGAAATGTTCTCTTTCTTTAGTGCAATCCACACCGTGCTTCTGTTCCCTGTTGAAACTACTACTCATCAGTTTCTGGGCAGGGTGGACAAGTCACGGGTGTTTTCCTTTGTGTGTTGTGCATTGGGAAGTTTACTCCGACTACGTTGCAGTTATTTATATCTTTCAGGAATTGATGATTTGGTTTACAGACTGGTTATTGTGCTGTTTCCCTTTTACAGATTAATAAAACCATCTGGTTTGAGTTGGAAATGTCATTTATAGCCCTGAAAATGTAGTTTGACATCATATAGTGGTAACATATATTTATAATATTCCTTAACTTGTAGATTAATAATCGACTTCAGAGAGCTTTGCAATTCAAATAAACTTTAACAGGGAAGAAAAAAGGAGAAACGTCAAGATTAACGGAGGAATGTCCCTCTTCCAGACATGCAGTATTTATTCTAAGCAGTAGACAGAAATCAAAAAATATTAGATGAAATATATTGGGTTTAAAAATGTACAAATGCATGTTATTGAGTAAATGTTGTTGATTTAAAGAGTGTTTATGGATAGTGGGGTGAAGATCGGAAGGTTGTGAGTTCAAATCCCGCCAGGAACACCACCACTAGTGTGCCCCTGAGTAAGGCACTTAGCCCTTAGTTACTCCAGGGAGAATGTCCCTGTAATTGGTCATTGTAAGTCGCTTTGGATAAAAGCGTCAGCTAAATGAAATGTAATGTAATGTTTGCATTGAAGAATGTGAACACCTGTCAGCAGTCAATAATCACCTCCTTCCCTTTCCCCTTTCAGTTCTATGTTGCAATGAGAAGCGTTGGACTTGAGCTCTGAGTGCTCAGCGGCATGAACTCGGTTTCCCCCAGCGCAGTACAGTACGTGGGGGTGGTGATGCAGGAGGAGCTGGTGGAGAGCCGGAGGCCGCAGCCCCTCGAGCGGCAGGGCAGCTTCGGTCTCAGGCCGGCCCCGACCACAGAGCCCGGCAGAGAGGCCAACGGAGAGCCGGACGAGCTGGACAAACTGAAATCCAAACTGATGACAGCGTGGAACAACGTCAAATATGGTTTGTACTTAGTCTTTGAGGAAGAGTGTGTGGGTGCTGCTCTAATGTTCATTGGCTTCTGATTGAGATTTCTGTATATATGTATTTGTGTATATACAGTATTTATACATACACAGTTTATTAAGTCTGGTCAAATCTGTTTTTTTACGGTTAATATGTTGGAAACAACGAGAGAAATATCTAAAATACCCTAATTCAGCGCTTTCTATTTGTTATTACACCAACTTTACTTTTAAATGCTCCTCTTTCTGTAGGCTGGACTGTCAAATCTAAAACTTCATTCAACAAAACCTCGCCAGTCATCGTCCTGGGAAACTCCTATCTGCTCAACAGTGAAGGTAAACACTAAATGCACAACGTATATTAAAATCTCAAGATTAAAAATGCCTAGCAGTCAATGCTGTTCTCTAAAGAGAGACTCCAGGTGTTGTTGTCATGTGGGTTTTGGTTAACCACAGCAGTGTAAACCCTTTTCCTTTGAACGGTTGCTGGGTTTAAATCAGAAAACACCAAGCAGATGACTTAAAAAACTTTTATTAAACAGATCTTCAAGTTGTTTTGGCATTACAAAGATCAGATCCAACATTTAAGCAACAGGCCTTCTTTAAAATACAGACAAATCATTAAAGGTTTGATTTAACTCATTGTAAAGGTTTTTTCTTTTTCCCTGGTCTCGTCCTCATCCCTTCCCCTCCTCTCAGATGAGGTGGAGCGGTTTCGTCTGGCCTTTGTCTCCAGGATCTGGCTGACCTACAGGAGGGAGTTCCCTCAGCTGGACGGCTCCACCCTGACCACAGACTGTGGCTGGGGCTGCATGCTGCGCAGCGGCCAGATGCTGCTGGTGCAGGGGCTGCTGGTCCATCTGATGCCCAGAGGTTGGTTGCCCTCAGTTACACACTATAGGTTAATTTGTATTACAGTGTAAGCCAATTGGGACCTTTTTAAAAGGGGTTGCTTATCTTTTCGGGAAGCCAATACAGTTATCTCTCAGTATTGTGACACATATAACATTATCTCTGCAGAAAGTTGTATTTCTTTCAGTTTATTTGATTGCAGAACATATTTGTCTGTCTCAAGGCCCCCTGCACTGTACTTTTCTCCTCTACTCCATCTCATTCTGTCTTTTCCTAAAACATTTTCATTGTGTCCATTGTAGTATGGCATTCAAAATATGTTTACAAAATATGTTTAAGCCCTCTTAGCCCGGATCCTTGGTTCCTAACTAAAAGCCTCTTTGTGTTCTGTAGACTGGGCTTGGCCAGACGCTCAGCAGCTCACTGAAGTGGACTTTGAGGTGTTCAGACCACGCTCCCCAGCCCGGGCAGGAGGGGTCCCCATCCCCTCCTTTGGCTCTCCACGCGGATCCAACACGCCTGAAAAGTCCCTGATGAGTGATCAGGTACCCAAGTGCAGCCAGAAGAAGAGACCTGAGTATAGAAGGGACAGTCAGGGAGAGACCCTCCACCACAAGCTGGTCTCCTGGTTCGGGGATCAGCCGCATGCACCTTTCGGGCTTCACCAGCTGGTGGACATCGGTAAAAGTTCAGGGAAGAAGGCTGGAGACTGGTACGGACCCTCTATCGTGGCTCACATACTACGGTAAGGGCGTTGGAACAGGCATGTGTTTTTACAACCTAGGTTTTACTATTTTCCAAAATGATTTAGATAGCTGTCATGCATAAACATTGATTGGCGTTATGAATTGATTTAATTTCAGGAAAGCAGTAGCCAAAACCTCTGTGCTCCACAACCTGGCTGTATACGTGGCTCAGGATTGTACTGGTGAGAAAAACAGACCGGATATCTGTTGAATTTCATAATAAGTCCTCTCAGTTCAGAGTTATCAGTTTGTTTATAACCTTGCCCCAACATGTATTCTTTTGGCAACACCTCAAAGAAGTCTTCTTCATATTATTTATCATTATGTTCCCATGCATTGCAGTGTACAAAGAGGATGTGGTGCATTTGTGTGACCTGTCGCTGAGCCAGACCCCGCCTGACCCGTCCAGCCAGGCCTGGAAGTCTGTCCTCATTCTGGTGCCTGTACGGCTCGGGGGGGAAGTCCTCAACCCGTCCTACATCGAATGTGTCAAGGTCTGAATATTCTGCTTTCACACCTTTGATTCCTCAGTGCTTACTGCAATAATATTTCCCACTGAATCCTGTTGCAAAACTTGTGTTCTTCTTCATATATTCTGACTCATATTGAAAACACCTGTCTTCATTTACAGAACATCCTGAAGCTGGAGTGTTGTATTGGAATCATCGGAGGCAAACCGAAGCATTCACTATACTTCGTTGGCTTCCAAGGTAAGAATTTTTTTTGTAAAGAAGGCTGGAAAACAAATTCCTTATTCAGAGGAAGGACCTGGTGTTCCTAGGATACAGCATGCAAAATGTAGTACCACAGAGGAGCCAATATTTCTAGCAAAATCTAACTCTAAAAGCATCTGTACTTTGTGATATTACATTGATAAGTAAAGAGAGTCCTGGGACATTTTGGCAAAGAATGTATTCATGTCTGAAGCACATTAACATGAGAGCAATATAGTAATAACGGTTTTATAAAGCACCTTTCAAAAACGGTCACAAAGGGCGTTACAATAACAACTGTCGAGTAGGTGAATTGAATGCATAAAAACAACAGACTGATCAACAGACTGGCTCTTGACAGGTGGAGAGTTTATACATAAATGCAGCTGTTTAATCCTCTTTCTGTGTGTCCTCCCTGTGTGTTAGACGAGCAGCTGCTGTATCTGGACCCTCACTACTGCCAGCCTTTGGTGGATGTGTCACAAGTCAACTTCTCACTGGAGGTTGGTCGCATTGTCTTCATCTATTTATAAAAATGCGTCACTATCTCTCTCACTCCAGTCTGTCTGGCGTTTTATCAGATCAAATCAGACATGTGACTTTCACTGTCAATAGTGTTTTGACTGCACAGACCATTAAAGATAACCCATGTCCCGTCATGAACTTTATCGACTGTTATTGAATGACCTCTGTCTCCCTCTGTCACTCTCTAGTCGTTCCACTGTAGCTCTCCTAAGAAGATGCCCTTCAACCGCATGGATCCCAGCTGTACCATCGGCTTTTATGCCAAGAACAAGAAGGACTTTGCGTCTCTATGTTCTGCTGTCAGTGAGGTGAGGTTTTACACCCTGCTGACAAAACGTAACTCTACATTTGATTGCATTTATTAACAGAGGAGAACAAAAAATGTAACAAGTACAATCTTTGGAATAAGCGAAATATCTTCCGTCCGATAGGATCAGGTTGAATTATCTTGATGCTAAGGAAATGTTCTTCAGTGCTTCCATTTTTATATCCTTTAGCCAAGGATGAAAGCCATATCAGGTTCACAAAAGAGAGGGAGAGAGAGATCCACAACCATCCACAGAGGGATTTAAATCACATCATAAACATATGAAAACACAATGTTGCTATACAACGTCTGAGTTGTATAGCAACATTGTTTTGACTTGATGGGCTTGAACAATGTAACATTTTCAGAATTTCCTTGTTTTATTTATCTATTTAACTGAATATATATTTCAATTCTGTGCTGTGATTCAAACATAAATGAGCAATTCAAAAAAATGTAATTAAAAGTAATTAGCAGGTTTGTAATTAAATGGTATGGAAATGGTTACAGCTCAAATTAAATGTTGTCAGTCTTATGAGATATTCTGAAGTGTTTTAGTACATTTTTGATAACTTGATTATGTTGTACCCCCAGGCCCTGTCATCATCGAAGGAGAAGTACCCCATCTTTACCTTCGTAGAGGGCAAGAGTCAGGATTTTGGACTTGAGGGCCACGGCAGCAATAACAGTGGACCTGCAGCCCACATCCTGCCCCCCGGCAGACAGGGCATGATGAACAACAGAAGAAACAGTGATGAGTTCGTCTTCCTGTAGGCACTGGGGAGGATGCTCTCTCAGCTCTCACCAGTGGGGGGCAGACAGGACATCTCACTCCCTCTCAAAAGGGAAAGACTGGATTCTGTTTGCGGTACGTCTGCAAGGTGGAGAGGACGCATTATCGCCTGCACTGCTCAAACGAAAAAAACAAACAGTGTGGCTTCTGTCATCACATTTTGTGTGATGGGTATTATAAGCTAACAGACACTAACGGGTGCTGTCTGCAGCATTATTTCACTGGGCAAAGGCATGATTTCAAAACGGATCATGGTTGGAAATTTTCTGGTACTTAAAATATTCTTAAAACACTTGATCATACACCTAAAGTGAAGCATATATGAGAAAACCCAAGCGCTTTAAAGTACTTCTAAAACACTGAAACTGTTTTTGTCCTGGTCTAAACTGGACAGGAAGTTGATGTGGTCTCTACTTCATGATATTTGAAAAGCTCTCTGGTCAGTCGGGGAAGGGGTTCTTGACTTGTATGATATATCATCTGCTGAACATCTCTTTATTTTGCATTCTTTACATTTATTTATCTAGTTTATGAACGTGTGTTTGCGTGTGAGCAAGTGATGTTACTGTGGTTTATTTGTAGGTCTTAAATAAGTTCTCTGATGGATTAGGGAGTCTATCAGGTTGAGTTTCACAGAGGTTTTAAATTCATGAAGAGCATTTTGAATTAATAAATTAATTATCGTGTTGCATTCTGACCCAAACATCACACAGATGACATGGGTCTTAATCTAGGCAGGCTTTGCCCTTGATTATTGATCATTAAGAATATGAAACACTCCAGGAAATCTCTGCTTAATATTCAAGGATAAGGGTGGAAGTGAATATAAATGATGCCTTTAGTTTTAGCGTTATATGTATCTGAACATGGCAAACTGTAGCTTGTCTCATAAAGCTGGATTATAAAGTAATCTGGATACATTTGAAAATTGAAACCCAGAACAGCTGTCTTTAATTATTTTTCAGCTTCTGGTCAGTTATTCAGTCAATGAGATCGGCTGAATAGATAATTAACCTTCAAGGTTTTGGTACGATGTCTTTTGTGTTTAGATTGTCTCTTTTCTGAGGGAAGGTTATACTAAAAGTTGCACTATACTACTGTTATTTGGGTTGTTGTCCAGATTAAACTTCAAACACTGGAATCACATTTGCTTGCATCTTATATTCTATAAGCAATTTTGAAGAGATTTTTTAGATGAAATATGTCTGTTTCCTTGAACTTGATCACTGCAGAGGACACACTGGTTGTTTATGGTAGGCTACCCAAAATGCAATGTTTGTCTTCAAAGTGTTAATTTGTCAGAGAAGCAGACACATTATTGAACTTTTTATTTTACATCATACTGGAAACTATGCTTTGACCATTCAGCTTTTGAAGCTGACCTGTCACCTGTTTTTTCTTGTGTCACTTTTAGGATCTTTACATTAGAGACAGTTAGAACAGCAGGCTTTTGCTAGGATCTTTTCTCATTGTAGTCCAATTGAGATATATTTATTTATATATTGAGATATATATATATAAAAAGCTTTTGTTCTTCATAATAATGAACCATACTAACATAATGAAAATGTGTTGCCATAACAATGTTGTATCATATTTAATTAAGTGCTTGATTGCAATAGATATGCTAAAGTATTCTGTAATACAACCATGTTGCAGTGGGAGAACACATCTGGTGTGTACAGTAAACGTTATACAGGATATGCAGTTTGTGTAGCTACAAAGTGAATTCCCTCAGAAGTGCTGCAGTTCGGCATTGCAAAAATGAGTTTATTTGTGACGTTTATCATTATTTGGAGATAGGTGAATGTTGGTTAACTTTCATTCTGTGAATATCATCCTGGAAAAAAAATCCTTGTCCAAGTCCTAAAAAGCCTACTTACAATGTGCGATGACTTTCTATGTACACACACTGTATAAGTCTGCAGTACAGTCTTAGCTGTAGCTGCGCACGCATGCGCGCTGCCTGCCGCACAGCCGTGACTAGACATTCGGTCATAAAAACAGAGGAGGGGGCGCTCGCGCCGCGTCGGTGAAACAAATCAACGCTTGGAGGCTAATACCAACAGGGTGAGTAGACTAATTGCTTCAACTCCTGCGTCTTCTTCTATGCCCAAAACATCAACTCAGGAGCGCAGAAATTCACCCAGGACCGCTGTCCTGTTGATGCGGGTAGGTCAGTAGCACAAGCACAAACCGCCATTCCCCTTTTTTATGTTTAACGAGACAGGCTTTCATAGTCTGAGTGAGAATGATCTTAGTAGCGGGCTCATGTGCATAATTTACCGTTTCCCCGCGTCCAGTTCAAGCGCAGTGGCAGACCCTGCAGCTGTAATTGCATATGGGCACAACGGGTGATTTGGTGCAGCACAGCGGGAGAAGATATGGGAGGCGGTTGATACATTTCAGCCAAATCTTGCAAAGATGTTTGCACCAACTTATTTGATCAGTAAAGCATATTTAAAGGCAGATATGAAGCTTCACTGTCACATTTCTCTAATCAATCCAGTGAACAATTGCTAATTTAGATCACTAACTTTTTCCGTATTGCATTGCCATATATACAGTATGATTGCCATAGTTAAAAGTTTTAAAGAGATCCAAATCTCCATCACACTCTCTGACCTTCTCTTTCCCAGGTCTCTGCTGCTCACCCAGGAGCAGGAGATCCAGGCCGATGTCCACCCCAGATCCCCCCATGGGAAGCACACCTCGCCCAGGTCCTTCCCCTGGCCCAGGTCCCTCCCCCGGGGCTATGCTAGGCCCCAGCCCAGGGCCCTCTCCAGGCTCCTCTCACAGTATGATGGGCCCCAGCCCCGGCCCTCCCTCTGGGCACCCCCAGCTAGTGCCCTCTGGATACGGCCAGGAGAGCATGCACCCTCTGCACAAAGTAAGGACGTACAAACACCAATCATCCCGCTGACACACACCACTGTTAATGCGGGTTCATTAGGAAACAGAGGGGTGTGAGCAAGTATTTTATTTTGCACATTAATGAGCTTAAATATCACATTCACATGAGTTGCAGACTCTGAGGCACTTTTGTGAACATTAATTCCACAGAAAGAAACATAAATCTTGGTTGATTGTTATTTAAACAACGTTTATGTTTGTGAAAGCACCTTCACTTTACATTTACATTTTAGCTCCACCTGTATCATAATTGGCATATGCTGACACCAGCACGTTGTAACACTAATCCATGTTTGAGAAAGCCATCATTGATGTTAGATTGAAATAACTGTGAATAACTACAGCTGCCTATTCATTCATACAGTATTCAACCTCCACCCTTATTCTATATTTTTCACCAAATATTGTTCCTGATTCGAGTTCAATTATCAAAATGTTTTAACAGTATTACTTCAACAGTAAAACCGAATTAGGATTGACAAACCGTTGCATTGAATAGTACTTTATGGACATGGTTTAAACCTGAATATGTAGTACAAAAACAAAAAGCATTTCTCTCAAATATTGTGTTTGTATGCTGGTCCCAAAGAGCTAACCAATCACTATAACATGTTAAATAGTAATTTAGGAACCATTTATAAGGAAGTGATTAATAAGGGCAAGGTTCTTGATATTGAAAAAACTGTGCCTTCCCATTATCTTACATCTCCTTATGTTTTATATTATATAAACACTGTTGTTATGTTAATCCCAAGGTGCTTTTCCCCTAGCAGAACTATACTATGTTTGCATCTGAACCTAATGGTTTAATTTGAACCCTGATTAATTTCTTCTGTATTCGACAGCCCATGGAGAGCATGCATGAGAAGAGCCTGAGTGAGGAAAGTCGCTTCAGTCAGATGAAGGGACTGTCTCTGAGACAGGGCGGGCACAGTGGCATGGGCCCTCCACCCAGTCCTCTGGACCAACACTCACAAGGTAGGCATGCTACGGAGACTTAAGCAATGTCCTGCTTTCCAGCCTTGCGTAAGTTGTGTTCATCTGTGATGGTGTGGTTATGAGGCGTGGTTGGCTTATAGGGAATTTCACTGTTGAAACAATTGAATATTTTTTGCGTTTTTCCCTTTCCTGTAGTGTGATATATAGGTTTTTGTGCATGAAAAAGGTCTGCTAAGGCAAACAAGTGTATCTCCCCCCTGCTGATTTGACTCTTTTGTATACTTCTATAACATAGTGACATCATTATATAACCCTCCCTTCAACACATTGTACATGATAGGCTAAGGGGCATGATAACTGGTGGTTGACCAATCACAACAGAGTTGGCCAGCTAACCAATCAGAGCAGACTGGGCTCTGGTTTTAGACAGAGGGTGAAAAGAGGTGCTGCAGCACAGGCAGTATTAGAAAAATTAAACGCTTTTTGAACACTAAAGCATGTAAAGATGTCACAGTAGCGGCACAAAATACAAGATTAACCTGAAAATTAGCAGAATATGTCTTTTAATATCAAAATACTGTAGCAGTACAGTGGCCCTTCCTAAAACCGCCACTGTTAACAGTCAGGTGGCAACTTTTTTGCTTAGCCTCTAACTGACACCTGCTGTATGCAGGAAATGAAACAAGACAGACTGGCAGGCTTAGCCCTTTGAATCACAGTTAAAAACATTACGAAATTACCATCTGGTAGGGTGTGAATAGTGTTGGGAAATAATGTACTATTCATCCATCTACTGTATGTCGCAAGCTTTTGTTAAAAGGAAGTTTTTACATTTTACGAAATCAGTGTTCGAACAGAAGATTGTTACCTCTCTCATGTTGTTACAATAAATGTGAAGCTAGGGCCATGAGACAGTTGAAGCAAAAATAATAGAGACCAACACCTATAAGGCTCACTGATTATACATATTATATCATGTTTGTTTAGGGTAATAAAAAACAAGTTGTTGTTTTAATGGGATTGTTTATGGGAATATTTCTTGGTCAGACAAATATCTCCTGAAATATTTCCCAAAGAGACCCAAGGTGAGGGACAACACTGCTTTCATCCACCTGTGTGTCCATCTTTCTGTCTGTGTTTCCAGGTTACCACTCTCCGTTGGGGGGCTCTGACCACTCCAGCCCCGTCCCTTCAAACGGCCCCCCCTCTGGACCTCTCATGCCATCCTCCTCTTCCTCCTCTGGTTGTCCCAGCTCTGCCTCTACACCTTTAGACGGTCCCGGTGTAGATCAGCACACTCTGGGTCCCACTAACCGGCCTGGCCCCCCCGGCCCCAGTCCAGGACCCAGCATGGGCCTCGGTGTCTCTACCCTTGTATCTGGCCTTGAGTCTGGAGGCCCTCCTGGTCCTGGAGGTCCTGGTGGCCCGACTCCCTTCAACCAGAACCAGCTCAACCAGCTCAGAGCCCAGATCATGGCTTATAAGATGCTGGCCCGGGGTCAGCCCCTGCCAGATCACCTCCAGATGGCTGTCCAAGGGAAGAGGCCAATGCCTGGGATGCAGCAGCCAATGCAAAGCCTGGTTCCTGGAGGGGGAGGCGGGCTGATGGGGGGACCAGCAGGGCCCATACTAGGGCCGGGGATGATGGGTTCCGGCTATGGCCGAGTTCATGGTGAGCATGCATGGAACGTGTCTGCATTACCAAGCTATGTCCTGTGTTGGCTGACTGATAAAAGTCAAACTGGGCATGTACGTTACATTTGGCCTTATGAAGTACAAACACACTTCCCTTTTTTTGTACATATCCATGATTTTTTCATATTTCATTTGTACTCATTTATTACTTGGGTTCACAATTATTTTTCCTTATATTTTCTTGTCAGTTAGTACTCTTATCAAAATCTAAATAAAATAAAACCATCTTGCTTACACATTCCACAAGTGGTTTGTCTAATGCAAGAAAATAGCATTTTAAAATTGAGGAACATAAAAAAACAAAAAACTTTTAATAAACCAATGGTTATACTCAAGTGGGATTCATCACTCAGCACACCTGTGTAAGAGCAGGTTTAGATGGTTCAGTACCTTCAGGAGCATCTGGAGTTAATTTCGCATCTATAAAAAGCAGAGAATTATGAGTAAGATACAAGATAAGTTGTTTTATACTTTAATTAGCTGCACATTTCCACAAAAGTTATCTTCTTAAAGTCTGCTTAAAATATGTTTTGTAGATTTTGTGTTATACATGTAATAGTAGTCTTAAAGCTTAAATTAGCTGTACATATTTTTCCTAGGAATGATGGGTCCCAACATGCCTCCTCCAGTCCCATCAGCTACTCCAGTTGGGATGCAGATGCAAAACCCAAACGGACCTCCCAAATCCTGGCCAGAAGGTATGTGATGTAAGACTTGGGGAAACCTGTCTTTTGTTGGACATGTGTAAAATCAGAGGAAGATAGAGCTGGTATATCTATATAAATTGTAGTTATAACCACTAATCCATGTAAACACTTTACATTTGTTATGTCGGTGCCTTACCCCCGGTGCATGTGCATCCTCATGGGTGTGAATAGTACAGATGGGTGTGCACAATACACATAAATGGGGACATGTTCTTTAAACGTTGCTCCACTATGCTTGGTTATAAACTCCACAGGTTAGCTTTCGTAGATCTTACAGGACCCAAAGGACCCAAATATTTTCCTTAAAAAAAAAAACATTTTAGGCAGAACACTTTATGTAGCGTTTCCATAAAAATAGTAGACCTTTTCTTTCTTTTTAACACTTCATCTGTCCAGGCCCCCTGGTGAATGCAGCAGCCCCCTCTAACGCACCCCAGAAGCTAATTCCCCCTCTTTCCACTGGCCGGCCCTCAGTTCCTCCAGCTGCCTCTCGAGTAATGCCTCCACAGACCCAGTCCCCCGGCCAGCCGGCACAGCCCACTCCCATGATGCCTTTCCACACCAAGCAGAACCGCATCACCCCCATCCAAAAACCCTGCGGCCTCGACCCAGTGGAGATTCTACAGGAGAGGGAGTTCAGGTACGCCTTGGGAAACACAGCTACCTTCATCTCATTTACATTAAGGAGACATTTCTTAGTAGAAAAAAAATAAAGCATTAATAATTCCTAATAAAGTACACTTCCCTCAGGTTACAGGCTCGGATCACTCATCGTATTGCTGAGCTGGAGAACCTGCCAGGCTCTCTGGCTGGTGACCTGCGTACAAAAGCTACTATTGAGCTCAAAGCCCTCCGACTGCTTAACTTCCAGAGACAGGTATGCACTACATCTTCAGGCTTCAAATGTTTTTATTTCCACCTTCACAACATCACATTTTGAAGGTTTTCAGTGGCATGATAACTCCACGTTTGTCTGTCTATCCACAGTTGCGTCAAGAGGTGGTGGTGTGCATGCACCGGGACACAGCTCTAGAGACGGCCCTCGATGCCAAGGCCTACAAGCGAAGCAAGCATCAGTCTCTGCGAGAGGCGCGCATCACAGAGAAACTGGAGAAGCAGCAGAAGATTGAGCAAGAGCGCAAACGAAGGCAGAAACATCAGGTAGAGGACAAACACATTGGTGAAGTTCAAGATTAAAAGTGTTTTTTTAATTGCCTCTTCTCTTCTACTGTGTTTTATCTTCTCTTTCCTTAATCCCAATCTTGCATTCTGCTCTTAGGAGTACCTGAACAGCATCCTGCAGCATGCCAAAGACTTCAAAGAGTACCACCGCTCCATCACAGGCAAAATGCAGAAGCTGACAAAAGCAGTGGCCACCTACCACGCCAACACTGAGCGGGAGCAGAAGAAAGAGAACGAGCGTATTGAGAAAGAGAGGATGAGGAGGCTCATGGTGAGAAGAAACCACAGAGACACAGTTAGAAAAACATGCAAATGACACCCTCAATGGTATACATACTGTCCTACACACTGTGTATATGTCTGTCCTGCAAGGCCGAGGATGAGGAGGGCTATCGTAAACTGATCGACCAGAAGAAGGATAAGCGCCTGGCCTACCTGCTGCAGCAGACTGACGAGTACGTGGCCAACCTCACCGATCTGGTCCGAGCTCACAAAGCTGCGCAGGCCCTCAAGGAGAAAAAGAAGAAGAAGAAGAAGAAGAAGAAAAAGAAGAAGGTATGGAAAACACCAGCACCAGTGATTTTGAATGTGATAGCTATTGACTTGAGAGATGTAAGTGAGCTTTAATGTGGTTGGTCAACCTCTTCTTCTTGCAGTTGGAGAGTGCTGAGGGTCAGACTCCTGCCATGGGTCCTGATGGAGAGGTGAGCAGCAGCTGTCATGGTGGCATGAAACATTTTTTAAGGATTTGGGATGAATGTTTATCCGTAGGGAAGTCGCTGATCGCATAATACAGTTACTCTTTAAACATACTCTGTTTACTTTGCTGGGATTCTTTGTAGCTTATTCTTGGTCTCCCTAGAGACCTCTTTTTGATAAAATGTCCGCACAAAGCTTTGTGGGTAATGTTTTTCTCTTTTTGTTGTTGTCATGGCAATAGGTAAAATCTGCATACTTTCATATGATCCCAATATTATTGTTTTCATGAGGCACAAAGTGTACTGTATATGATATATATATATATATATATATATATATATATATACACATAATCGATGGCTTTTGCCAACAATATGCATGTGTGAATATTGAGAAATCAATGCCGTAAATGATCTGTCATCGGGAACAACAATTGTATTGAAAGACTATGTGAAGCTTTGTCTCGTGTTAATTAGCCACCATGTAAACCAGTCCTGTCCTAAAGATAACCTTCGTCCCCCCCTGCAGCCTCTGGATGAGACGAGTCAGATGAGTGACCTTCCGGTGAAGGTCATCCACGTGGACAGCGGGAAGATCCTGACAGGGGTGGACGCTCCTAGAGCCGGACAGCTGGAGACCTGGCTGGAGATGAACCCTGGGTGAGACTGGCTGGAGAGAGGAGGAGTGACGTCTGAGAGTGTGTCTGGAGGTGCCTCAATGGCTGTCAGGCTATTTGTTTGTCTGATTTTTGCTAAATTGCCATTGCCAGGACAAATGATCAATCTGAGAGAATATATCACTTGGCACCTTCAACTGGCTTGACTGGCTTTTCTATTTAACTCGCTTTTATATTTTATATGTGTGGTTTAGAAACCTGTGCATAAGGATGACTTACAGTATAGTTGAAATATTCACATACTAATTTGAGTATGCATGTATTTTTTCCAGTTATGAGGTGGCTCCTCGCTCAGACAGCGAGGAGGAGGAAGAGGAGGAGGTGGGTTGTTTTAGAGACATGTTTGAAACCAGTTTCATATTCACTGCTCAAATCACTGACAAGCTGTCTGGCAGGAGGAAGAGGAGGAGCCTCAGCCGTCAACTAACCAGGTGGAGGAGAAGAAGAAGATTACAGATCCCGACTGCAAGGACGTGTCAGAGGTGGACGTCCGACACGTCATCGAGTCAGTAGAAAAAAGGAGCACTAGACTTCTTGAATACTTTTACAATTATGTTGTTGAGCCACACGTGCTCAGAACATAATATGGTTGATTAATTAAACTGTAATTTGTCTCCACACGTAACAGAAATGCTAAACAGGACGTGGATGATGAATATAGCGGAGCAGCGTTCGCCCGAAGCCTCCAGTCGTATTACGCTGTTGCTCACGCTGTCACGGAGAAGGTGGACAAACAGTCCACTTTTTTAATAAATGGACAACTCAAACAGTATCAGGTGAATAATCACAGTCAGATCAATCACATTATATTTTCTACCTGGCCATAGGGCTTATAAATAATATCTTAATATTTTTAGACTGGGTGCACACTACTTTTTGAGTTAACCGACTGCTTATGAAAATGTCATGACAATCTGTACTTGATTCTCAATATTACATCTGACATGGAAGTAGCAGCAAAACATTGAGTATATTTAAGATATCACCCACTCCTACCTTGCCATGCATGAAGACAGTTTTTGAATGTCATGACTTGACAAAGGAGTTAAATGCTTTGCTTGATTCTCCCTTTACTGTCCTGCAGGTTAAAGGATTGGAGTGGCTGGTTTCCCTCTACAACAATAACCTGAACGGGATCCTGGCTGATGAGATGGGCCTGGGGAAAACCATCCAGACTATCGCCCTCATCACGTACCTCATGGAGCACAAGCGGCTCAACGGCGCCTACCTCATCATCGTACCACTCTCGTTAGCATAACCTCTTAATTTGCAAAGATATATTTCATGTTTTGTCGTCATTCATCAGCATATTTCGTCTGAACACATTGGTTAATTAAAAAAAGATCTGCCTCTCATTTACAGAACTCTTTCTAACTGGGTGTATGAGTTTGACAAATGGGCACCGACAGTCGTGAAAGTGTCCTACAAGGTGGGCTTCTACAAATGCTTTTATTGTTCGTATGGTAGCTTTTGGTTCTATTGTTAAACACTTAACCTGTCTTTCAGGGGTCTCCTGCTGCAAGAAAAGCCTTTGTGCCTCAACTGCGCAGTGGAAAGTTTAACGTTTTACTCACCACTTACGAGTACATCATCAAGGATAAACAAGTGCTGGCCAAGGTGAGATGGGATACACAAACAAACACAAGCAGAAGGAGACACACCCAGGCAGTCATAGTGTAATTCATTTTTGCTAATCTTTAGATTTTGCTTGAGGTTTCCATGTGTTTTTGTTCATCGTCTCCCATTCCTTAAATTCCCAAAGTTTGAAAAGTATTTTATCCTGGCCAATCTGACCGCCCACTCTGCTGCGTCTCAGTGCTTTCTCCTAGGTGCTGCCACACTGACACCGCCTGTCTCCCTCTGTCCTCTCTGACGTCATGCTGTCATGCACTCATGTAGTCATTTAGGCTTCCTGACTGCTCAAAGGTGGGTGTTGAGGTTAAGGCAATACTTTCCCCTTGTGATGGCTCAAGGCTTTGGCTCGCGCCTGAGCCAGGGTGGGTCCCGAGGACACGATGGACAATCTTACTTATGAACACTTTCAGTTTTTGGTTGCTTTGGAATCGGGCGATAGTATAGTGGCAGCTTTATCTAAATGAACTTGTCTGCTCTCTCCAATACATCAACACCAGATTCGTTGGAAGTACATGATTGTGGACGAGGGCCACCGGATGAAGAACCACCACTGTAAGCTGACCCAGGTTCTGAACACACACTACCTGGCCCCGCGCCGTGTACTGCTCACAGGAACGCCGCTGCAGAACAAACTACCCGAGCTCTGGGCGCTGCTCAACTTCCTGCTGCCCACCATATTCAAGAGCTGCATCACCTTCGAGCAGTGGTTCAACGCCCCTTTCGCTATGACAGGAGAGAAGGTGGGGGGGAAGTCGTAGCAACATCACATCCCTTTTTATTAAATGTGAGATAAGGCAGGAGGTAGAGCGTCATTTTGTCTTCTCTCACTCCCTAGGTTGATCTTAATGAAGAGGAGACCATCTTGATTATCCGTCGTCTCCATAAAGTCCTTCGCCCCTTCCTCTTGCGCAGATTAAAGAAGGAGGTGGAGGCCCAGCTTCCAGAGAAGGCATGTTTCACTTATTATAGCACACAGAAGACAAAGACACACTTCTACAAACAGACAAAGAGAGCGCAAATATCAGTCAAGATGATCTCCTGATGGATTTCTTTCATTCATTTATCTTCTCTCTCCTCTCCGTCAGGTGGAGTACGTGATAAAGTGTGACATGTCGTCTCTTCAGAGAGTGCTTTACAGGCACATGCAAGCCAAGGGGGTCCTGCTCACTGACGGATCAGAAAAGGACAAGAAGGTGAGCACATAAACACTCAAACACTGTCGGTGCTACAGTACCTAGTGTATCATTAGATTAAACATACTTATTTTAGGTACATGCTTTTTTTAATAGAACAAAATAATATGTGGCATTAAGAGGATTTATATCATCATATTTCATTTAGAAGTTGACTTTGGAAAAGGTTAACAAACCCTGACTCACACAGAGATGTATTAGCTATGACAGGTCAAGAACATATACTGTAGTGGGATTTGTACACAAGTGAATATTTGGTTTCATTATCATCAAAGCCTGAATTGCTTATCTGACATTCACAAAGAACTTTGAGTAAAAGCTGAGGGTTAGATCTTTGGCTCTCACATATTTCTTTAATTAAGTCATCAAAAGAAAGAGATTTGATGACTGTGCTAGGAAGACCCTTAAATAAATAAATGCTGAATGATTGAAAGTATAAAACTGTGATTACAAGCTGTACATTTTGTCTTGTGTTTAACAGGGTAAAGGAGGCACAAAGACACTGATGAACACCATCATGCAGCTGAGGAAGATCTGTAACCACCCTTACATGTTTCATCAAATAGAGGTACTATTGAGGAGTGGGATACAACAACATTTTAAACATCCTATTATGTACAAAATTCATAAAGCCAGCATCAAAAAAAATGTTTCCTACTGTATAGCTAAGCTTTCACATTTCACACAAGGCTGAATTTGTAGCGATAATGCAGTATTGACTTTGGGTATTTGACTAAATTACAGAAAACATTGTTGATTGCTTTTGCAGGAATCTTTCTCTGAACATTTAGGATTATCTGGTGGGATAGTCCAGGGGTAAGTGCTGATTCCATTGAAAGGTTAAGATCACTCACACTAACCGTAACCCTTGTAACCCATACACCTACCTTTACGTCAGTCTTGACCTGTATCGGGCATCAGGAAAGTTTGAGGTGTTGGATCGAATCCTGCCAAAGCTCAACGCCACAAACCACAGAGTGCTGCTCTTCTGTCAGATGACCACTCTCATGACCATCATGGAGGACTACTTTGCTTATCGCGGCTTCAAGTATCTGCGCCTGGATGGTGAGACAGATTACTCATGAATTTATCCTTTATTCTTTTTATATTTCATTCATTATTTTTCCTGAAATCTCTTCCTTTCCTCTTTCTAATCAGCTTCTTTTTAGTTTTTCCATCATGTGCTTTTCTTCTCTTTTCCCCACTCCCTTAAATCTCAGGTACCACAAAGGCTGATGATAGAGGAATGTTACTGAAGACTTTTAATGAACCAGGGTCAGACTACTTTATCTTCCTCCTGAGCACAAGAGCCGGAGGCCTCGGCCTCAACCTGCAGTCTGCGGACACTGTGATTATTTTTGACTCTGACTGGAACCCACATCAGGTACACACATTTATTTTAGATAACAAATGATGCCATTAAATAAAAAACCAAGCTTATATCAAAATTAACCTTTTTCTAGGTAATGATTTGAATCACCAAGCACCATGATTTACCAGGGGAGCTTTATTTCAAGCTCCCCTATTATACTGTTTTTCATCAATATATTATAGGTCTCCGATATATACAAAACATGTCTCTGAAGTGTTTGGCTCGAAATAACAAGCAGATAACCCATTGTAGCATCCCATAATCCTATCTCTTTCAGCCCTGTTTCAAAAGTGCTGATTCTGTCTATTACTTTAGATGAAAATAAGGAGCCACTCCCCACGCCCCTCTGAGAGATATTTGGTTAAAAATAACACAATGGGGGGGGGGGGGTTACCTTGGTTGGTGATTGGCTAATGGTTACACAAGCCAAAAAATCGTTATGACATCAAGTGGTCAAAATCTGATCAGCTCATTTTCAGACAGGTTTTTATAGAAATGGATCAGGACAAAAAGTGAGCGAATCGTTTTTCCTGAAACGTTCAGAATCTCTTTGCAGAGGGGACACATGTTTATGTATAAAAGACATGAAAAGGTGCATTTTGCATGATAGTTCCCCTTTAAAGTAACATATCATTTGAAAAAGCAAATACAAGATGCTGTAAAAGGGTAACTATCGCCATTAAACATATGAGAGTACTCAGTTAGCAGGAAATATTGGATGGCTGTTTATCTTTGGCCCTGTGAATGCTAATTGACGGTCCTTTGTGGCTCAGAATATGATTGAAATATCAAGATTCACCTGTGATTTGTAAAGGTAAAATAGATAGAGCAGAGGCGTGTGACTTTAATTTTCTTTATGTAATCAAAAACTGTCTACACAGCTCTTCATTTGCTGTAAAGTTTATTAGATTATACGATTATACCCTTCATTTTAATTGCATTTGATTTGATTTTTCCAACATGATAGACAGACTGCCAAAGCAGTGACCATTCACTACAGTGTCACATGTAGTTTGACTGCTACTAACCCTCCTTGGTCCTGATACAGAGAATAAGCGTAGGTTCAAATGTTGCTCTTCATCCCTCTTCAGGACCTGCAGGCTCAGGACAGAGCTCACCGTATTGGTCAGCTAAACGAGGTGCGAGTGCTGCGTTTGTGCACGGTAAACAGCGTCGAAGAGAAAATCCTGGCTGCTGCCAAATACAAACTGAACGTGGACCAAAAGGTCATTCAGGCTGGCATGTTTGACCAGAAGTCTTCGAGCCATGAGCGCAAGGCCTTCCTGCAGGCCATCCTGGAACACGAGGAGCAAGACGAGGTCGGGGATCAGGAAGTGTGTCTACGAATTAATGTGTGTGTGCGTGCGTGCACCTGAAACACAACATTTAAAAGAGTCAACTTGCTTCTACTCTGCCTGCCAACCTGTGGTCACTGTTTTCAGGAGGAGGATGAGGTGCCAGACGACGAGACGGTCAACCAGATGATCGCCAGGAGTGAGGACGAGTTCGACCAGTTCATGGTCAGTGTTTTAAAGATCGTTTTAAAGTGTTCACCTCCAGCACTGACCAAAATCTTCTCCCTATGACTTCTGTTGACCTTTTTTTCAATCTCTCCCTCCCACAGCGTATGGACCTTGACCGCCGTCGTGAGGAAGCCCGTAACCCGCGGAGAAAACCTCGTCTGATGGAGGAGGACGAGCTGCCCACTTGGATCATGAAGGATGACGCTGAGGTTGAACGTCTGACCTGTGAGGAGGAAGAGGAGAAATTGTTTGGAAGAGGGTCTCGAGAGCGGAAGGAGGTGGACTACAGCGACTCACTGACGGAGAAGCAATGGCTCAAGGTAATTAGGGAAGAGCAGAATAACAGATGTCAAATTAAAATACAAAATGAAACGTTGCTTTATGAAGTTGATTCTTCCTTTGTGATTTCTATATTTCTATTTGAATCTCTCAGTCTGTGTTTCCCATGCAGGCAATAGAGGAAGGCAAACTAGATGAGTTGGAGGAGGAGGTACGGCACAAGAAGACCACCCGCAAGAGGAAGAGAGACCGCGACCTGGACCTCCCCGGTCCCTCCTCTTCCCTGGGGGGACGAGGGCGAGGGGACAAGGATGATGACGGGAAGAGGCAAAGGAAGAGGGGGCGACCACCTGCTGATAAACTCTCCCCCAACCCCCCCTCCCTCTCAAAGAAGATGAGGAAGATCGTAGATGCTGTCATCAAGTATAAAGACAGGTAGCTCGCATGTTATTTTTTTGGGGGAAAAAAGATGTAGCAAGATTTTACTGACCAATCACTGACCATAATCTTTTGAGTTTCAGGTCAACTAAATGTAAAAAAAAAAATTAATTTAACTATAGAGAATCAGCATAAAGTATTCACAATGCACATTTCCTGAGATATTTTGTATTATTATGATTAAATTCATAGTAGATTTAATTCTTGAAGTTTTAGCCTTTTAATTAAGTGGGTTTAATATGTTTGGGCGGCTTTGGGTTACAAAAATGTTTTATGTGTATGATTATTTAAAGCATTGTATTGATTAGACACAGGCAAACAGTCATTTATCTGAACTCCTATGCTTAAACCTTTTAGTTAATAGATAAGAGTGATTATAAAGTTGTCTCTCACCTGTAGTGTTTAATTAAAATAAATGAAACAAAGGGAAATCTGAAACAATGAATTGAACAACTCATGGGGAGCATTCAGTTGTTGATGAAGGTGTTTCGTCTCATCCTGATGATGTAATGTCCTGCAGCGCCAGTGGTCGTCAGCTGAGCGAAGTGTTCATCCAGCTGCCGTCTCGAAAGGAGCTTCCAGAGTACTACGAACTAATCCGCAAGCCTGTGGACTTCAGAAAGATCAAGGTTAGATCTGAAAAAAAATGATTCTGTCAGGGTAAGTCGGTCACTGCAGCAGCAAAGTATAAACCATACAACAACAAAAAACAACAACGAAATGTACAGCAGACAGATAAAAGTGACGTGTGTAGTGCCGAGAGACGGTAGTCGGAGGCGGGGTATCGAAGGTACAAGCTAGACTTTTATTTAGCATCTGAAAACGCATGTAAACAACTTCATGCCCGGGAAGCGAAGACCGGCGGAAACAGGAAGTCCGGTTCACTAAAATGTCCGTGCAGAACAATACCCCAACCCATAGATCCGTGGGTGAATAATGTCAATCACCACTCAAGCCCCCCCAGTATTCACCCATAGTCAAAATCCTCGTGCTTGGGAGGAAGTACCACCCAACCCCGGCGCGTACGGACCACAGGGGCCGAGGAGGGCGGGGCCGCAGGCGAGGGCAGGGGCGCCAACGAGGGCATCCCCATAGGGGGCGGGCCATGGGAGGGCGGCCCCGACGTGGGGGCAGAGCCAACTCCAACGGCCTGGAAACGTCCACGTGAGCAGGCTTAATCCAATCAACGGACACAGTCTCAGGCCTGCCACCAACGTCCACAACCAGGCTCTTGTCCTCGTGAGGTATGACCCTGAACGGACCGTCGTAAGGGGGCCGAGGTAAAAACGAAATCCGCCGACTGTAATCCGGGGGACACCCGGAAAGCTGGGTTGCTGTGACGTGGGGACGGGCGCGAATGTCCCGGCGGTCTCCAGCAGGGAGGAGCGCTGCCCGGCCGCAGACCAGGGCACAGTGGCGGTGGGAATGAATTCCCCGGGGACCCGTAGCGTGTTGCCATAGACGAGCTCCGCCGACGAGGACTGCAGGTCTTCTTTGGGGGCACACCTGAGGCCGAGCATAACCCACGGGAGCTTATCCACCCAGTTGCCGTCTGTCAAGCCAGCACGCAGTGACGCCTTCATGGACCGGTGAAACCGCTCAAACAATCCGTTAGCCTGGGGGTGATATGCGGTGGTGCGGTGCAGCTTGACCCCCAAACCTACAGCAACAGCGTTCCACAGCTCCGAGGTGAAGAGGATAGGTCAGACGGGATCCCAAAGCGCGCCACCCACGTGCCGATGAAAGCGCGGGCGACGTCGGAAGCTGACGTCGAGGGGAACGGCCTCGGGCCAGCGGGTCGTCCTGTCCACCATCGTAAACAGGTAGGTGAAACCGTGAGAGGGGGTAAGCGGACCCACAAGGTCGACATTGACATGGTCAAACCTCCTCTCAGGAACCGCAAAAAGTTCAAAAGGGGTCCTAGTATGGCGGTGGACTTTGGCCCGTTGACAGGCCACGCACCAGTCGACCCAGGACCTCACGTCCTTCTTAACTGCCACACGAACTTCTGCGACAACAACTTCACGGACGGCTTCCTACCGGGGTGGGAAAGATTGTGAACCGCCTCAAAAACGGGTCGGCGCCAGTCCGCAGGGACCAGTGGTCGAGGCTGGCCCGTGGAGACGTCACACCACAGCTTTGCGCCAGAGTCACCGACCGTGACCTCCTCCAGGCGTAATCCCGTGACCGAGGCCTTGAGGGTCTGGACCCCGTGGTCCGAGGCCTGGTCAGCGCCCATGCGGAGGTAATCGAGGCCCAGCTGCACAGCTCCGATGACCGCTCTGGAGAGGCAGTCCGCAACCACGTTAGCCTTGCCAGCGATGTGTCGTATGTCCGTGGTGTACTCGGAGATGTACGAAAGTTGGCGTTGCTGTCGGGTGGACCACGGCTCGGCCACCTTGAACATGCAGAAGGTCAGTGGCTTGTGATCCACGAACGCCGCGAACTCCCGGCCTTCCAGCAGGAAACGGAAGTGGCGAACCGCCAAATAGAGACCAAGGAGTTCTCTGTCGAAAGCGCTGTACTTGCGCTCCCTGGGAGTCAACTGGCGGCTAAAAAAGGCGAGCGGTTGACCCATTGTTCATGCACCGCACCCACTGCGTAGTCTGACGCGTCGGTGGTGATAGCGATGGGGGCCCTGTGTGACGGGTGAGCCAACATGGCGGCTTCGCTCAGGGCGGCTTTGGTGGCGTTGAAAGCGACCTCCCTTTCAGCCGTCCAGTCTATGGCCTGGCCGGGGGACGTACAGCGGGCGCATGGTGTGGGCCGCCCGGCGGATGAACCGGTGATGAAACGTCACCCTCCCGAGGAACTTTCGGAGCGCCCGAGCTGTAGGCGGTCGTGGAAAGGCAGACACGGCCTCCACTTTCGACGGGAGGGGTGCGGCCCCATCCTTGCTGATGAGGTGCCCGAGGAAATGGATGGAGAACAACCCGAACTGACACTTCGCCGGGTTGATAATCAGGCCGTGTTGGTTGAGCCTCGCGAAAAGGACCCGGAGATGTGACTGGTGCTCTTCGGAGGAGGAGCTGGCGACCAGGATGTCGTCTAAATAGAGGAAGATGAATGGCATGTCTCTGAACGCTGAATCCATCAGCCGCTGAAAGGACTGAGCTGCGTTCTTAAGTCCAAACGGCATACGCAGGAACTCGAAAAGCCCAAACGTCCGAGGGGTGCACCGGCACCTGGTGGTAGCCCCGCACCAGATCCACCTTAGAGAAACCAGCTTGCCCGCCAGGTGTGCAGAGAAGTCCTGGATGTGAGGGACCGGGTAGCGGTCTGGCATAGTGGCGTCGTTAAGGCGGCGGTAGTCACCACACGGTCGCCAGCCACCGGCTGATTTAGGGACCATGTGAAGCGGCGAAGCCCAAGGGCTGTCTGAGTGGCGGATGATGCCCAGACGCTCCATGTTGACGAACTCCGACTTGGCGACTGCCAGCATGTCAGGGTTGAGCCGCCAGGCCCTAGCGTAAACAGGGGGGCCTTCAGTGTCAATGTGGTGCTCTACCCCGTGTTTGGTAGTGGCAGCGGAAAAGGTGGGCCGCATCAAGTCGGGAAACTCACTGAGAAGGTGCTGGAACTTGTCGCCCTGTGAGAGTGAACTGGAGAGCCCGCTGAATGAGGCCTCGCCGCGGGGCAAACATCAGCGCGTTCACCAGGCGGCTGTTCTTGACGTCCACCAGCAGTCCGTGAGCGCACAGGAAGTCTGCGCCGAGGAGGGCGAAGGAGATGTCAGCCGTGACGAAATCCCACTTAAACCGCTGACCCTCGAAGCACAGGTCCACTGTCTTTGTGCCATAGGTGCGAATAGGGGTGTCGTTAGCGGACGTTAAAGGTGGGCCGTGGCCTCCACCGGCGGCGTCCTCCACGGTAGCCGGCAGGACGCTCTGCTGGGCTCCTGTGTCACAAAGGAGTCTGCGACCAGAGAGGGTGTCCCTGATTAACAGGAGCCGGTTGGATGTGCGGCCACTACCGAGCGCAGGCCTGGGCGTTTCCCGTTACCTTGTAGGTGCAGAGGGGACGGCACATCTTCGCTTTCGCCCGTAGCGTGCATGGTAATAACACAGGCCAGGGCTGGAGTTGCTGACGTCGGCCCCGGAGCTTCTGCTAGGTGGCATGCCTGTACCAGGGAAGGTGCCGCTGCGTGTCGGGGCCAGCACCTCCGGGGCAAAACGCTGTGTTGCCAGGAAGAACCGGTCGGCTTCTTCGGCCAAAGCGCGGGGCTCAGTAATAGCCGTATTAGCGAGCGCTGTCTGTACATGCGGCGGCATGTGCCGAAGAAACAGTTCTATGAACAAAAAATGTGGTTCTTCCGTACCCAGCAGGCTGAGCATCATCTCCATGTGGTCAGATGGCTTGTTGTCCCCCAGGCTATGAATAGCGAGCAGGCGTCGGGCCCGTTCTGACCGTGACAGCTCGAAAGTCTTTCGCAGGAAAGCCTTAAACGCTGCATATTTATCCTGGGCAGGAGGAGATGTAATGAAGCCCACCGTCCGGGTCGCAGTGGAGCTCCCCATCGCCGAAACGACGTCAAAATAGCGTGCTGCGTAGTCAGTCACTCCGCGGAGGGCGAACTGAGCCTCCGCCTGAGCGAACCATGCAGCCACAGATGTCTCCCAAAACTCCGGCAGTTTGGAAAAAAAAACGGCGTTACTTGCCATGCTCGGTTCAGTCTCGGATCCTTCAACGAATGTCGGGGTCACCACCAGTGTAGTGCCGAGAGACGGGAGTCGGAGGCGGGGTATCGAAGGTACAAGCTAGACTTTTAGTTAGCATCTGAAAACACATGTAAACAACTTCATGCCCGAGAAGCGAAGACCGGCCGAAACAGGAAGTCCGGTTCACTAAAATGTCCGTGCAGAACAATACCCCAACCCATAGATCCGTGGGTGAATAATGTCAATCACCACACGTGTCAATCACACACTTTCTCATGTGTACTCAGTGATTAACATACTGTGTCTGCTCTGTAGGAGAAGATTCGAGGACATCACTACCGCAGTATGGGTGACCTGGAGCGAGACGTCATGCTGCTCTTTCAAAACGCTCAGACCTTCAACCTGGAGGGATCCCTGGTGAGACGCACTGTACACAGTCACAGTTGATGGACACAGAAACACGCCTGCTCTACTGTGTCCTGTCCAGTTAAAGTAGTAACACCAGCTGTATCAAGTGTTTATTTTTTTATTTGGAGCTGCTATTGAGGTTTTCGAATAAAGGTTTAAATGTCTGTAAGCATATTTTATGACCTCAATAACATAAAAGCAATCTTTCAACAAAATTCATAATGTGAATAAAATCGTTACATGGATTGAATAATTTTGTTAAGCTCCTGTCACACTGTCCCGAAATTGACACCAAATGGATACACGATAAAGGACATTTTCAAATTCGGCTCTGATCGTAACAACATCGGGCCATTCGTGAGGGCATCTTAATCCATCGTATGACCGCCGGTGGAGTTTCTCAGGCTCCGGCAGCAACTTCGTGAGCGGTTGCAAAATCTTTGGCATGCCAAAAAATTGCCGAAGTACCTTGCGAAGGTTCATTTTCGTGTTAAATTCGTGTGTCCATTTTGCCCTTGGCACTCGTGAGGGCATCTTGTCAAATCGTGTCATCTTCGTGTGATCATTGATTGATTGATTGATTGAAAAGTTTATTAACAGCTTGTATATTGGGTACAGTACAGCTCAAAACATACAATTGTTAAGGGGATGCAGACCAGAGAAAGACTTTCGTCTTGTTTACATCAGGGTCCCCCATTTCCAATTCATCATATCATTTAAGACATATAAGACATATTTGACATACAGATGGCTTATTTACAATTTACATACAGGTGGTTTTTTACATACAGATTGCTTATTTACAATTTTCATTTTAGATTTCGTTCTAATACATCCTAACCGGACATTTAAGACATACCAAGTCTACAGATATACAGTTAGTAACAGAGTCTAAAATGCGAGTATATACATAGATGGGGGGGAAGCTGTCCATTGAACGACAGGTTGAGATTTGTACCATTACCGGGGCCAGTTTTGCAATGCTCTCCCCCGAAGGTGCTCTTTAAGAGAGGTTTTGAAGGTAAGTATAGTTTTACTTTCCTTTACAGTTGTGGGAAGAGCGTTCCACCTTGATGTGGCATAATTGCGAAACGTGTATTCCCCCTTTTTTGTGCCAAATCTGGGTTTCACATGATTTGTGGAGCTCCCTCTGGTGTTATGATCATGGTATTCCTTGACCTTTGGGAAGAATTTTGACATGTACATGGGTACCATAGAGGTTTAGTGGATATTGTAGACCAGGCCCATTGCAAGTAGCTGTACTCTGTCGTCTACTCTAAGCCATCCTAGGTTGTCAAAGTGGGCAGAGGTGAGGTGGGTTCTAGATGAAAGGTCAAGCAGTAGTCTGACCAGTTTATTTTGCGATGTTTGAAGTTTTATTTTTAGCGCCTTGGAGGTGCTATGGTACCATGACGTGCAAGCATAGTCATAGTACCCTTGAATGAGTGCTCCTGCCAGAGTTTTCAGGGTGTTTTTGTTTACCAGAGAGGAGATCCGGTATAGGAATCTAGTTCTTTGATTGACTTTTTTTATTACATTGGATGCCATTTTGTCACAGGAGAGGTTTGCCTCAAGAATAGATCCTAGGTATGTAATTTCCTTCTTACTTGTGACAATAATGTCGCCCACTGCAACTGAGAAGTCGTCGGATTTGCTGAGATTATGTTTCGAACCGAAGAGAATGGACTCTGTTTTACCCAGTTGTAATGATAATTTATTATCGGCGAGCCAGGTGCAGATTCTGCCGAGCTCGGAGCTGAGGGTTTTTTCAACCTGCAATCTGCTCCTGTCAGAGACCAGCAGGGCTGAGTCGTCCGCGAACAGGAACAAGTTGCAGTCACATGCTGATGACATGTCATTTACATAAATTAGGAACAGTAACGGACCTAATATGCTTCCTTGTGGAACACCACAGCTCACTGGGAGGGGGGGGACAGAGTACCGTTTACCTCCACCATCTGTTCTCTCCCCTCCAGGTAGGATTGCATCTAGCTCACCGATAGTTTATCAAAACTAATTGCTTTTAGCTTGTCAATCAGAATGGGGTGATTGACAGTGTCGAAAGCCTTTTGTAGGTCCAGCATCACCATGCCGCAGTACTTGCCCTCGTCCACCTCTTGTTTGATGTGGTCGCTCAAATAAAGAAGGCATGTGTCAGTGGAGTGGGATGTTCTAAAGCCAGATTGAAATTCATAGATTAGTTTATTTTCCGCAAGGTACTTTTCGACCTGTTCATATACTATTTTTTACATGACTTTCGAGATGGAGGTAAGTATAGAAACAGGGCGGTAGTTGCCTGGGTCCAATTTGCTGCCCTTTTTGTGCAGGGGGGTTACTCTTGCAATTTTGAAGTCTTTGGGTACTTTTCCCTGTTTTATGGAGAGGTTAATTATGTGAGCTATGACTGGTGAGATGGCGGTTGCTGTGTCTCTGAGGAATTTGGAGGGGATATTGTCGTGGCCAGTGGCCTTGTTAGGTTGGAGGGCGCTCAGTTTAATGAGTACCTCTGCTGTTGTTACCCTTGCTAGACTGAAATCATCTTTGCGTACCCCTAGGTTTTTGTAGTAGGTCATGATGTGATCTACTCCAAAAAGCCCTGAGTGGGAGGGTAATTTATTTACAAGAGTTGTGGCTATGTTTGTGAAAAAAATGTTCAAGTACTTGGCCACATCCAGTTTGTCTGTGATGAGCCTGTTATCTGTCTTTATGTTTAAGTTAGAACATCTCGTTTTGAGTTTTTTACTGCAGCCAAGCTGGTTATTGAGTAATTTCCAAAGTTCACGGGGTTTATTTTTGTTTTCCTCAGTTTTGACATTGATGAAATTCTTTTTGGCAGTTTTGATCATGGAGCTTACGTCATTTCTTAGTCTGTTTCTTTCAATTTTTAGTTCAGTCACGTGGGCCTGGAGTTCACTGCTCGTGCTTTTGGAAAGCATTGACTGACTTTTATGAAACTCTGATCATCGGTGCCATCGGGGCGAAAAATGCCCGATGGCACCGATGATCAGACGGTGCATTTGTTTGGCATGCCAAAGATGTTGCCACCGCTCACGAAGTTGCTGCCGGATCATGAGAAACTCCACCGGCCCGATGTTGATTGATTGATTGATTGAAAAGTTTATTAACAGCTTGTATATTGGGTACAGTACAGTACAGCTCAAAACATACAATTGTTAAGGGGATGCAGACCAGAGAAAGACTTTCGTCTTGATTACATCAGGGTCCCCCATTTCCAATTCATCATGTCATTTAAGACATATAAGACATATTTGACATACAGATGGCTTATTTACAATTTACATACAGGTGGTTTTTTACATACAGATTGCTTGTTTACAATTTTAATTTTAGATTTCGTTCTAATACATCCTAACCGGACATTTAAGACATACCAAGTCTACAGATATACAGTTAGTAACAGAGTCTAAAATGCGAGTATATACATAGATGGGTGGGGGGGAAGCTGTCCATTGAACGACAGGTTGAGATTTGTACCATTACCGGGGCCAGTTTTGCAATGCTCTCCCCCGAAGGTGCTCTTTAAGAGAGGTTTTGAAGGTAAGTATAGTTTTACTTTCCTTTACAGTTGTGGGAAGAGCGTTCCACCTTGATGTGGCATAATTGAGAAACGTGTATTCCCCCTTTTGTTGTTACGATCAGAGCCGAATTTCAACATTTCCTTTATCGTGTGTCCATCTGGTTGTTTTATTGCACAACAAAATCATGTAAACATATTATGTAAATAACCGAATTAGTGTTCTGTGAAACTGAAAAGGATATTACATTATTTGTGTTACTTTCGTTGCAGTTGTATGTCTTAAATGTAATTTAGGTTAACTTCCTGTTTTACTTAGATGCTTTTATTTTGAAGGCGAGTTGACAGGAAGTTGTTGTTGTTGCTATGGAAGCAACATGACGAAGAAAACTTAATATCTTCTACATATAAAGGAAGGCGGAGAAAGTAAAGAACAAAGTCTGAAAATATCAGTACAGTATCATAGTACTTTAACATAATTATTTGTGTTGCCAGTGTGTTCTATGTGTGAGCAGGAGAGCTTTATGATGCTTTTGAAAGGTTAAAAAATAAAATATGAATATGGATTTAAGCAGAATATTTCGTCAGATAAAATCCAATGCAGCCATTACTGGAATCTTATCCTTCAAATACTATAACTGTACCTTTATCCTTTATCCGAATTGTGCAAAAATACCGGGTTTAAACAGAATGAAGAGACATTCTTTGTCTAACTTATATATCCTTATACTTATATACTATACTTGTATATATCCTATTGGCCATAATTAAATGTCAAAAGTCAGATTGGTGAAACATGGAGGGCATTATGCAAACATCTTAGTAATCATAGATGAATTGTTTATACATGATTTTATATTGATAATGAAATTGTTTTCTATCATGTTTTTATCATCGTGAGCAGATCTATGAAGACTCCATCGTCCTCCAGTCAGTGTTTACCAGTCTGAGGCAGAAGATCGAGGAGGAAAGTGAGGGAGAGGAGAGTGAGGAAGAGGAAGATGATCTGGAAGAAGGTTCAGAGTCCGAATGTAAGCATGTCCTTGTGAAGAGTTGTTTTTTCTAAGTTGAATGAATGGGTTGTGATCAGGTTGTGATGTGCTTTTCTCACGGACCATTTTTCACTTGAAACAGACACTTTTGTTTCCCCTCACTAACACAGAAATGCTTTTACACACTTTTACTGTGTAATAATTAATCCTATATCTTGAATATTGCGTGAACGTTTGTCTCCAGCACACACAGTGAAAATGAAGATCCGTTTGGGAAAGAAGGATAAATCTGGAGATCGGGGGAAGGGTCGCAGCAGACGAACAGGACGCAACAGAGCCAAACCGGTTGTTAGTGATGACGACTCTGAGGATGAGCAGGAAGAGGTAACTCTCCGTCTGTCTCTGTATTTTCTTTATAACCTGGGAACAACTGTCAAATGTTTCCATTATACCTACAAAGCCTTGCTGACCCTTATGTGAGACCTGGGCTCTTCGGATGGTTTAGCACAAGCTAAAAACGCCCACTAAGGCATTTGTGCTCAATGCATTAGTTGCAGATGTTCAGTAATCTTTTATTTGTCCTGCAAAGGGGACATTTACAACAATATTTTGCAACAATGTACACTAATGTACTGTATCATTATAAAAAGTGTTATTAAGTTCTAAACAAAGGTGAACATCTGAATGATCCACTTACATGTTCATATGCACTGTTAGGTTTCAAGTTTCAAATCAAATCAAGTTTTATTTATATAGCACATTTATAAACGATTTTTGGTCGAGCCAAAGTGCTGTACATATAATAAAAATAGCCTACAGTAGAGACACTTTACAGCAAATACAACAGCACAGATTGTTCAGAATATCAGTATGAGAAAAACGATACCCTCTATCCTTAGACCTTAGGTTTACAGTGACACGTGATGTTTCTTTTGTTGAAAGACCATTTTTAAGGCTGTGAGTGATATTAGCTTTGCATGAGTCTTACATCGAGTACAGAATGAATGATGAATTTGATATGTTTCTACCTGCTTGATCTTTACACACATCATGCAGCAGCAGCCCGGCAGGAGCTCAAACATGCAGGATGTAGTTAAATAACTGTGTATTTCCCCTATGTGTCTTTATTATATCCAACGAGGAGGTTGTGTTGGAATTCAGTTTCACTTGGTGGAACTCTTGCAAAACGTATCCCATGATTTTCATCAGTTAATTTAAGTATTATAAGACATATTTTTCCCTTTTATATATAAAAATATGTATATTAAAAAGACCTTCTCTAGTTTTCTCTCTTATCTCTCTTCCAGGAGCGTTCCCCCAGTGCCACCGACGAGGAGTCCGGAATTGTAATGTAGAAGAGAAGGGGGAACAAAGGGATATTCCACCAACTCAAGTACTGCATTCATAGAAAATAAGATATGCCTCTGTCTACTCCACCCACCCTTGGTCAAATGTCAAAGCACTCAAATGGAAAATGTGTTTTGTAAAACAATCAATTCAGGAACAACACGCATTCAATATCATAAAATACACAAATGTATTGGACTATGCACATTGCATTTCACGCTACTGCTCGGTGCAAAATGGTCCTTAAAAAAAAGGAGTGTATTTATCTTTTTTGGGAATATAATGAAAGTTTTTGATCAGTTGTATTGAGAATTGTATCTGCGTACTGGTGTTTAAAACACTACTCGGAGTCAGCTCGACTTAAAAAAATACAGGAAAATACACTGAAGCCATTTTATAGTCATTATATTTCTGAGTTGCACAATTACAACACCTTCCTTAAAGTCATTTAACATTTATAAACAGCATATTAACATTCAAGACATTGCTGATAATATATTATGAAGAAGTTGAACACACACCTATAAGGACCATAAGGTTTTTTTGATGTACAGTAACTATAATTCTCCTATGAAGACATGTTGTATATTATTAGAACCGTGTTTTACTTTAATTACATTAATTGTCTGTTTAAAAACCAGCCTCATCTAATCTGTGACTGCAGGAGCAGTTATAGCTTTTGAGAATTACATGAATAAATGCTTACAAGTACATTAAAGTCTGTTATAAACCACCTACTTAATGTTGATATACTGATATAAATGCTAAATAGGAGGACTTAAATTGCTCCCAGTCAAACTAATCCCAGAGAATTAAAAATTCAGTTAGTTAAACTTATTTAATTGTATATGACATCTATATTTATTAAGATGTTCTTATTTTTTGGGGCAAGTTGTAATACAAAATGAATCCTTAGCAAACCTGAGAAGAACTGGCGGGAACCAGTAATGTGAACTAAACAACCTTGAATGTAAACCGAAGATGTTTTCCCCCAGTTTCCTAACATGATGTTTTGCCTCTGCTTCTCTGTAGCAGTGTTGTAACAACAGTAGGCCGCTTTGGAGCCACTGTGATTACCGAGGTGTGTGCACATCACATATTTGTGACCGGGGCTCACTGTTTGAGTTGGAAATCCAGCCAGATGTGGGCACAGGGTGTTTCCAGACTTCTCAGAAGCTCTTTAGCAATTCACCAAAGTCATTACCTGACTGAGGTTCAATAGTGTTGGGTCCAGGTCACTATAAAGTACAGTATAAAAACAACCTCGCTGCTGCTGCTGCATACTTGCTACACTTCCAATATAAGCACTTATAACTGTTGATTGTAGACTTAAAGAATCATGAGGTCGCAATTAATCAATGAGTACTGTAGCTTTAATTGCTTCTCCTTCAGTTGTTGTGTGGTGATTTTAGGATTTCAGTAGTAATTTATGTAGTTTTAATGTTTTTTTATTTGAAGACAAAGGACCAGAGGGACAGTGGCTCCTCTCTGCTTGTGATTGCCTCATGGCTTTACTGTGTTGGATATACTGTATAGAGTATTTTTTGAGTATAATGTCGATGCACGTGTGTACAGCTCGCAAGTTCAGTACTGTACTTTTTTCACAATGTAACTAGAGTGAACAACATACAACCATAGCATCAACATTTTCTCCACAACATTATAAAAATGTGTCTGTGTAGTGGTCATCATTGCTGGGACTCAGAACGTAACAATACAGTGAAAGCGATTGTTGTTGTGTGATGTAGTGCTGAGATGATTTATGGTTTTGCCAGGTGACTGAAATTAATCAGCAATTGTATTAATAAATGCTGTGAGTCACGTTTTTTTGTAACCCTCCTGTTGTCTTCAGGTCAAATCTGACCGATTTACTACTTTCATCAATCATAACTTTTTTGTTTTACATTCGATTGCATTAAGGCTTTATGATATCCTTCACAGTAGACATTTGAACATATCAAATTGCTGATCACCACTTTCATTGAATTTTGGATGATTTAATCAACTTTGTAACATCCATGGTGTTCTCGGTCAAAAATTACCGCCATAAAGAAAAGAAAAGGATTAGTAACCATCCGGATCAGATAAAACACACACAAACACCCACACACACACATACTCTAGATGTGTGTGTCCCCCCCTTATGTACCCATCCCCCCATGTGAATCACACCTGGCACACAGAACAATTTGATACATTTCCCGCTCTTATGTGCCCATCCCCCCCACATGGATCACACCTGGCACACGCAATACATGTTCAGTGTCTATTCTTTGTATATTTACTGCAGTTTTTCATGTATACCAGTATACAATATTTACAGTTTGAAAGGGTGTTAAATTACATTTGGTGATGATTAATGGTTTTTGTGTTAATGTTAGTAGTTCAAACAGGACCGGTCAAATTTGACCGCGAACACCAAAGTAAGGGGGGGAACACGAAGACAATAGGAGGGTTAAGTTGAACAAAACAAGAAACACTGATGAGCTTACATTATTTTATTCTTTTTTGGAGCCTTTATTCATAGTGATGACAACTTTATATTGGAAATCTACTAAATGCCTTGGTGCAGAAACAGATACTTTACCCTCATCTGATTTGTTTTGGATCGATTGGAGAACAATAATAGCCTTAGGCTCTTATAGACCCCAAAACAGCTTAAACATCATATTCAATCTGTTTAATGTAATACTCTATTGTACCATCAGGAGGAGATCTCATACAAACACGTGTCAATCTGTCATTACACCAGTCTCATGAGACAATCTTATGTGCTGAAACTGTCTTTTAAAAAGTCAAACAATTCAAAACTTAACAAAGTTCAAGTTAGGCACTATGATGTACAATATTTTCCTGGGTATTGAGTTGTTGTTTGGCCTAACTTGACCCTTTTCCCAAGATGGCCAATGCTTCCATCATAACTCCATGTAAATATAAAATCAACATTAAACCTCGACGAAGTAAGGTCATGCAAATACATGAATACAGAAGCTCTTTATACAGAGCACATAAACAACCTTGCTATTCCTCATATTTATGTTTATTTTGTACGCTGGTGGGCTGGCACTGAGAGAAACATGCTGAATGTACAGTGTGCATTTGCAGGAAGGACTTGCGATGTGTGTGTTTTTAAACAGAACCTCAACAGTGAGGTTTCTGTCGGGGGTCGAGGTGTTTGCTCCTTATAGAGGAGGGGGGAGTTTGTCCTGATTTCTAGGAACTCCTGCATCCCATCAGCAAGTCAAAACCAGCTGTTTACTGGGGGGTAAAACACACAGAGAGGCGGTATAGGCTCAGGGATTAACAAAAAATACCCAGGAGCAATTGCAAGTTCACATCTAGCACCCAAGGGTGAAAATACACATTCTTACATCTGGCCTCGCTGATGAGTTTCATAACTAACTTTTTTCAAGCTGTACTTGACCCAAACTGTAAGGGGCACTGTTACATTCACATTCAAATAGTTTCACATGTTTCCTATGCACACAGTTCCATTTACCGGCTTTATGATATCCCTCATACTTGTTTTATTGATAAATCCTCAGACTATAGTTTTTAATTAACTTAGTAGTACTAGTTAACATCTCATAGACATTGTGTAGCAGTCTGTTGCTTTTCATAGGGATGTAGTAGAGATAAAATGTGACTAAAGTAAAGCCACACCCCAGTCAGGATCCCTGTAATGATTTATCTTTAGAAAAGGGAGAAGAAAGAAACCCTGTGTTTATATGAAACCACATGAGAGTAGGTCCTCACCATAGACTGTAAAGGTCCTCACACATGGGGAGTCCTCTGTAGCAGCAGGGTTTGTAGTTTAACTGAATAAAACCACCTTCATACTCAAGTCTTGTGATCTTTGGTGCTTTTACACTATGCTAACTTTTACATATTCACACACACTCACCCATTAATGGATGTGCCTTCAATGGGTTCAGAATCTCTCCCCATGGACAATTCTACATGCCGACTGAGAGAGACAGGGATCAAACCGGTGATCTTCCGATCTGCTTAACCTTTTGAACCACTGAAGCCCCAAAGGTTAAAACATATTATAGCTTTGTACTTTATGTGTGTGCCAGATGTAGGCTACTATCTGCCACACTATCTACAGTTTAGTTTGCCACTATAATTTGCTGCAAAAATATTCGCTTATAGTGTATGAAATCTGAATACCTATTACTACATAATTTGTTATGTTAACAAAATACAAATTACACTTATTTAAGGATAATTTCTTCCTAAATGAAACCAGTCAAAAGGTCAGCATCTCTACTAGATGTGAGACATTATCTTCTACTGATCCTGCATTTGAATTGGTTTAGGAGAAAGTAGTCAGACAGATGCTACTGTAGCATCATGAGCATCAAAATAGACCTTGATCATTAAAATGTAAAAATTCAGGTTAATGAGTACCCAAAGTTATGTTGGTGTTCCTCTGTAAAAGCAAACAGAACATTTGCAAAACACAAATCACCATTATTATTATTATGCAAAATTGGTCTTGTGAAGACGATAACATGTGCTGTAATATTAGTGGCTGTGACATATTTTCCAGGGAAGTGGGAGAAAGTGCTCTACATCATTTCGTAGCCCTCCATTCCTGTTGATTTATTGAAAGTGGCTTCCGCAAGGATACATGGAGAATTCTGTTTCCAACGTCACTTATCTAAAAAGTGATTCAGAGGTTTTTTCAAGTGACTGTGTGTGTTAAGAGAAGGGGACGGACTTATAGGAAATAAGCTGTGGGAGATATTCCGGGAATGTGGAAAAAGCGGCTGAATTACAATTCTCTGCTACACCCACCATCACTAACACACCTCACAGGCACATCTAAAACTGCTGGAGGTGGGACATCATGTATGTTTGTTATCAGGGACCCAGATATTTGTTAGAAGCAGGATGCGGAACTAACAGATTTGAATATAATTTCACTTTGTTATTATCAAAGCCTTGACTGCTTATCATACCCTTGATAAACACTTGTTTCTATACTAAACAGAGATCAGGATGTGGTGAGACAGATGCTGATTATTTACTAACTTTATCTATTACTAAATGTGTGTACAGGATGTATTTGTATGTCAAAGTAATATCCAGTGTGTCAGGGCCAACTGATTTGAGTAGACCAAAAGGTGGCTACACACACACACACACACACACACACACACACACACACACACACACACACACACACACACACACACATGTTTGTATTTCAAAGTGTGTGCATCAACAAACAATATTCTTTTATATAGGCTAGGTTTCGACTATCATATCTATTCATATTTACGTTTTTTGTCAACATAATTGTGATATGTGGCTGGAGGGGTGATGGAAAGACGACACGCACACAGTGATACAGCAACACTGTAGCTCCTCCCCCCGGTCCTTGCTCACGTCCACTTTCAAACATCACCCCACTGCTCTGGTCCCGCCCCTTGTCAGCCTCCTAGAAAGTCGTCGGATGTGATTCAAACCTCATTACATTTAGCTTGCAATTGCCTTTTATGCACAGCTTCAGCGTGACTCTGCTTCTTGTCCTCTGCGTCTGATCGCAGACCTTTTTTTACGCGCTACTCCATATCTGCGCTGTTTACAGCTGACTGACTCTTCTCTAGCGGTCAAATATGGACATCCAAGGGGGACAGAAGATGTTTGGGATGTGGAGGGGACTCACCGGGCTTTCCATATGTTGCTGTCTGCTGATGCTGATTCATTTTTCGCCTCAAGCAGGTAAGGAATAAGAACAAATTGGCAGCAAAAGAAACATACTAACACATTTCATACCACCCATGAGATGCTCCAAGGTTTAAACGTTGGTGAGAGTCATTTATTTGAGCTCGCTGGACATAAAGGCATTATCCACGAATCATTATATATGTCTCTCAATTAATATTTGTTTTGCTATCATTTCTGATTTTATCATGAATTGGTTTCATGAGTTTGTGCGGTGAATGTGACCGGTGAATGAGGGGAATAACTGTGGGTTGAAAAACATTTAGTTACAATTCTGAATAGAAAAAGTATCATGTATGTTCAAAAACTGAGATAACTAGAATAAAGACATTGATTGTAAAGTAATAGAAACAAAGTATGCTCTACAATTCCGGCATATTTGAATGGAATCTACGCACCGCGTTTTGATTGGCTTGTTGTGGTGCACGAGTCAAGATTCAGGTGGGAGGATACATGCGGCTGTCAACGAGAAAAGGGTGCGGCTGAAACACTTGCTCTTTATCTCCGCAGCATTCTTAAAAATCAGCCTTATTTCTGTGCAAGTTCATTGAAAGCTAATAATATAGTAAGTATCCCCGGGAAATGATTCTCTTGTATGGATTAAATGAATTAATAATATGTTGAGTTGAGTTTAAGCAGTTTAAGTAAGCATAAATTACAATCTGCTTTACTTAAATAAATTGCCTAAAATGGTAAAGATGGAAATAAAGACACTTAAAAGACAATACAAAAAAAAAACCTGTTGAAGAGGGGAAATAATATTGATAACATGACCCACATTAAGCATTGTGTTGTTATGTGCATCAAATATGAATAGCTGATTTAAATGCACAACATAAATAATACATGATTAAAATTGTGCTTTATTTTAGTACAGCATCCTCACCGTTGAGTTTGGTGGATAAATACAATATGTCATTTATTTTCTTTGGTAAAGGAGTGATCCAATGCCCTTTGAGGCAAAACATATGCTGAGAATGAACCTGCTTTCAGCCCCAATCTGCCAGCTACTAATCCCCAAGTAATCTTAACTCTCCACAAAGAGCTTTTCTGATTAGAAATGACGTTTTTTTTCCAGTTCATGGCCCCCACATAGAT